TAACTACCAACAAGCATATCCTTGTTCTAACTCCCTTAGAATTCCAATGCTCGAAAACAATATCCGCACATCCTCCAGATCTCATACCCAACCTTTATTTGTTGACTCCCCGTACGTCGATAATTCTAGACTAACTAGTCCTTATTCTCCAAGCATCATCAATTCACATCGCGTGTAAAATAATGGAACGCATTATCAAAAGACACTTGATGAAATACCTGGAACCGAACAAAATATTGTGCGATGCCCAACACGGCTTTCGTTCAGGGCGCTCCTGCCTAACGAGTGTTCTTTACTCACACGAGAAATGGACAGGAGCTACCGATAAGGGTTTTCCGGTAGATGTCATATTTTTTGACTTCACGAAGGCCTTTGACAGTGTCCCACACAGGCTTCTTTTGCAAAAGATCTGGGATGTAGGGATTCAAGGGAGAATGTTTAAGTGGATCAGAAGTTTTCTATCCTCCAGACTACAAAGAGTCGTCGTTAGTAATTCTACCTCGGAATGGGTACAGGTGGAAAGTGGTGTCCCACAGGGTTCTGTCTTAGGCCCAGTACTCTTCCTGATTTATGTTAATGACTGCATCAGCGAAGTGAATTGCGAGGCTCTCATGTTCGCGGATGATATAAAAATATGGAGTGAAGTCAAGTGTGATGATGACGCAGAGAAGTTGCAGTCGAACATCAACAAACTGTGTGCTTGGTCGAACAGATGGCTTTTGAAGTTTAACGTGTCAAAATGCGTGGTTTTGCACCTGAACACCGGCCGCAATGCCTCTCCCAAACACCAGTACTATATTGACGGGACGAGGTTAGAAACTGTGGAAAGACACAGAGATCTGGGTGTATTTACGACCACAAATCTATCGCCATCAGAACACTGCAGAAAGATGGTCCAGAAGGCTACTAGTACTCTACACTGGATCAGACGTGCATTTAAAATATTTCCTCCCGAACTTTTCGAAAGACTTTTTGGTGTCTTTGTAAGACCTCATCTAGAGTATGGAATGCCAGCAGCTTCACCATGGATGAGGAAGGATATCGACTTACTCGAACAGGTGCAACGCAGAGCGACAAAGATGGTCGACGGTCTAAAGCATTTGTCTTATCAGGAGAGGCTAAATTTGCTTGGCCTATTCCCTCTCTCTTATAGACAAATAAACTGCAGTCTACTCTGGACGTTCCGAATTGTTCGCGGCCAGGGTTGCTCATTAAGAGCAGAAGACTTCTTTGAGTTCGCCCGTACAAACCAACTACGCGGCCATGCATTCAAAGTCGGGAATGAGCGCACACGTTTAGACCGACGAAAATTTTCATTCAGCCAGCGGGTTGTCAGGCCGTGGAACTCGCTTCCAAGCGAGATGGTGACGGCTGACACAGTTTGTGTGTTTAAAAGAAAACTTGCTCGCCTAGTTTTCGACTGAAATCGGCTTGTACAGCATGACTATGCACAGCCAGTTTTGTAAAATCTGTCATATACAATCTTCCGCACTAATTTACATTGACCCCATGCACTACCTTATGATTACGATTGAACTGTGACCCAATCACATTTTAAATGCCTGCAAATTTATTTTATTTTTGAGTATGAATCTGCGAAAGCACTGTACATAAATAGGGTTATCAAGGGCTCTGCCTGTAACCCTTCAATATACATATACAATATCCGCATCCAAGGTCTTTTATAAATACCGTCGACAATAGCCTTCCTGTTCGAAACTCATTAGACATTATATTATTGAATGCCACGTCTGAACCAATCCTTTTCTTTTGCTCAATTTTAGATAGGACATTGACTACAATCGATGTCTCCTCAGGTCTAATAAAGAAACACATAAGGCGTTTGAAAAACTCACACAGCTCAGGAACGGAAAGGATTCCAAATTCGATTATTAAACAAGCATCCGACCTTCCCATATTGCTTAGTCATTTATTTTCGGTTTATATTTCAAAAGGATTCTTTCCTGAAACATGGAAAACATCAATTATCATTCCCGTCTCCAAGTCTGGATGTCGGTCTGATGGTAATAACTATCGCGGCGTGCACAAAACATCGTCTGTAGCAAAGCTTCTTGAAAAGATTATTTTCAATGAAATTCTTGACTTCTGTCTATCTAATTGGCTTCTGAGCTCTAGTCAGCATGATTTTTGCCTGAACGATCCTGTGAATCTCGCCACCTGGAATTTCTTAATCTAATCACTTCTCTTCGTAATGAGCAGCAGTCAGTGGTAGTTATCTACTTTGATCTTTGCAAAACCTTCGACAAGCTGCCCCATAGACGTCTTTTAGTATACTTGGGAGCTCTCGGTATCCGGCCGCCTCTTCTCTACTTCATCAGGTACTATTTGTCCAACCGATATCAAAAAGTCATGGTCGGTAATAGCTACTCGACACCTCACTCGATCACGGGTGGCGTACATTAAGGCACGGATCTAGGTCCGCTAATTTTTCTTCTTTACGCCAATGATATTTCCACTGAAGTCAGAAATTCACAAACTTTTATTTATGCCGATGATCTCAAGTGTGTTTACTCATATTCTATGGACACCGCAAATATTTGTGTTGAAAATTTTAATGTACATTTAGTACGCTTAAGTAGATGGACTTCAACATTGCAGATGGAGTTTTCATCATCCAAGTGTAGTTTCATGTCATTTGGTCCTGTAAAACTTCCTGGTCCCATAATTTTTCTGAATAACCCATTCTCAGAATGCTTCACGATAAAGGACCTAGGTTTAACTTATACAAATAAACTTGCCCATCACCTCATGCAGATAGAATCTCTGTCAAAGCCGTGCAGATATATGGGTTCATACAGCGTAATTTTTTTCTTCCGGAAATGAAACTAAGAGTTTATCAAATGTTTGTTCTTCCAGTCCTTGAATACTGCTGTCCATTCTTTGGCTTAATGGACGCCTGTGACCGCTATAAGATCGAAAACGTTCAGAGGGTTTTCACCCGGAAATTGTTCTCTCAAGTCTCATCCGGTACTTCTTATACTCAGAGATGTCAGCTGGCGAACATTAAAATTTTGTAAGTTAGAAGACTCGAAGCTAACCTTTGCTTCCGTTTTCGCATTAACTCTAGCTCCAATCTTCTGCTCATTGACACTCTCATTCCGAGAGATCGGTCTTATGCCACGCCACACTCCTGCATGGGGATTCCACCGCCTCTTTGCGCTACATATAAGCGCTCCCTCTTCTTTGCTTCCAAAAATGGCTTCCTTTGGAACAATCTTCCACCACAAATTAGGTGATCGCCTAAGTTACCGGTATTTAACTCGAAATTACGCAAACACATTACACCGGAAAGCATAAAGGCATTTTTAACCTTCTTATCCCTGAACACTCAGCTTCTTGACTTCGAGAAGGTTCCTCCTGGGATCTAACGGTAGATTACGTAGAAACCCTCACTTATATCTTTACAACCCCCTGTTTTTATTGGTTACTAAATCCACTGCTATCATTCCTCCCCTACAGCGACGATTTTCGCGGTTCTTGATGTCATCTTTCTCATTTCGACCTCAAGCGGTCTGTCGACTCTGTTTTCGCCGTCTGCTAGTAGTTTGGTAGTACCTCCCTTCCCCACTCCTCGGCTGGTCCCGAGGCGGATTGTGACCGATCGCGTCTGTGTTCCTCTTATCGCGCCACTTTGACGCGAATATTATCAATTCTGCCATGAACCCCTTACTCAATACCACATGCAGGCCACTCCTGTCTGACCCGCATACGTATCCTCAAGGCTAAAATTTATTTCTGCCATGACGATGTCCGATTATAATCCGTTACGCACCGCCACATGCAGGCCAGCCCCGCCCGCATTTTTGTCTTATTATTAGCGAAAGTTTTTTTTCTCCTGTAAAGTTAATCCAATTATTTTTTAAATACTCTAGTGGTTTTTTTACTGCTCACTCATAATTTTTCTTAACGGAATACCAATTCAAATACTATGAATTGCATTTTGTACAGATTCTGTCTACGCCGTCTAAAATTCACATGAAAATTTATTTTTACTTGCTTTAAGTGGACCCCGATGGGGCTTTAATAGAAAATTATTTATTTATTTAACAGACCAGGCCCTTAAAGTCATCGTTAGTTATCGATGAAAACTTCGAACCTCGCCATTTGTCTGAGTATATTATTCGGTCGTAGGAATTTGGCTGACGCCAAGAAAAAAGACATTCAGCAATTTAACGTGGAACCGAGTTGGTATCAGCTGTCAGTAGTGGCAGTTGTACAAACTTCAGAATTGTACACCCAGTGAGCCAGAAAAAGTTTTGTTACTGTTTCCGTAATAAGCACAGCTACCGACCACCGGGTACAACGACCAGTTCAATTCAGTAGATAGTAAAACCGTCAGAGGGTGAGAAATGACCCATGAGGTCGAGGTGCATGTGACTCAGACGCGCATTAGTAGTGACAACGTTGCACGCCGGGAAACAGTGTGCTGATAGATTGTGCCTCCCTGGCATGTAAGATAAAGCCATGTTCGAAGCCACATATGCTGCTCGATGGCAAGACGGACGAATCAACCATGGTCACTTTTACCGTAGCCCGCACCCCGAAACTGGATAGGTCGTGAATTAGGTTGGAGACCTGTCGTTGCAAAGTTGTTGGGGCAAAGGGACGTTCGTAACCGGTAGAAAAACCGCAATTGGTGAAGCCAGCTCTAGCTGGGAGAGGATCCTCTTGAAGAGGAAGGGTTATCCAGCGAAATTTTAGTGAGGCGTCGGCTAGTGGCGTGAGGCAGTACGCACTGACGCATCTCGCACATGCTGTCCGAGTACCGTTTAACAGGTCAAGATTAAGCAGGACATTACTCTTCCAACCTCTTTCTGTCTGACTTTGCCACATATTTTAGTTGTCAGGGCAAGGTCCTCCACAAGCCAGGAACTTGGGGAGTCGGGAATAGTCTGTAGCCCTAATCTGTCCTTGAACCTTCTGTCGTCTACTTTGGATCACCTAACTATATCGGCGGGATTCGCGGAAGTTTTTCGAAGATGAATGGCGTCCGTCTTGCGGTATGCTTACTCTACTATTTTGTGTCCGCAATTACCTTTCGATCCCTTCTGGTCATCAGTAGAAAAATTCTGCCTTTCTTCAGGTTGGAGTTCTTTTACCCTGTACTGAATGCCATTTTTCTTCCGATGTCGGGCCTGATGGATTTTCCTCACGGCCTCTGAAGCTCCTGCGTCTGTTGAGACGGTCCTCGTTGTCTTAGTGCCAAGACACTGTTAGTTTAGTTCGCTGCAGTTTCTGTTTTTGACGTTGGTACTGTTTTTCAGGGCATGGTTCTTCTGTAAACATCCGTGATTTCAGTTTAGCATACTCGGTCAGGCTAGATCCATAGTAGCACCCCCATACTGAGCCGACAGCGACTCGCTTTGAAAACGTCGCGATAGGTATGACCAATTAATAGCGGATCTTTTATATTTTGCAAAAATACTACATAGCCTGCCTTTGTTAGCTTCACGAGCCACACAGGCCGTCTTTCGTTTTCTTGCCCATAGTGTGCAACCTTCCATGTGACTTTAGGTTGCTTTTCACTAGCCAGGCCAGCTGTTTGCGCATGACACGGCTGATCTTCCGTTGGTTGTACAGCTTCATCACCTTAAGTGTCAATCCCACTGGTCGTGTAAGTCTCCAAGATCAGTAATCGACATGCTGTATTACCTTGGTTCAGAGCTGGCCTGCGTGCAGGCGGTGTATCAACCGAGTCATTTTCGGACACATCGGAGTCCACCGCTTCTTAAGCAGTATGTGATGTGATTCGGTAAAATCAATCATGGGCGACAACGGAGGATCATCGAGCGACCATACGAGATCGAGGGAGGATTTCTGGTGTTTCTGCCAGACTTCCGTCTGCCGTCCTGATTATCACCGACTGGTTACGGTCTCCCTAGTCATTGTCGGTAATAGCATACTGCCTGTATCATGCGCCGCTTTGCAGCTGTTGGTTGGGCTCGAGAGAGAGCCCTTAAGGCACAACGGAACGAGTGAGCTCCGTATGAACGATCGGTGAGCGCCCCCTACCATTGTATATTTCCGATAGAAAACCGACAGGGCAACGGGCTCGTGGCCCAGTGAGTAGAGGCGTGGACCTCAAACTAGCAGGTCGCGAGTTCGAGGCTCGGGTATTCCACACTTCGGGCTTAGGTGTGACTTGGCTGACGACGGCTAATAAGCCAGAAATGGCCATTCCAGTCTCCCTTGTCTTTGTCGGTAATACCATTCTGCCTACATAAGACACTGTTTGCGAACGATGCCCACGGGCTCTTGCCTACACTGTCGCTTGGATCCAAATCCAGTAAACAGTTAGATGACAACTCCGTGTCGGAGTGCGCGATAAAATATACATCGAGGGTCTGTAAAGATAGCGCAGTTCAGGTGACCAACCACGTTTGCGCAATCTACCGCAATAAGTCGCGGTAAGAGTACATCCAGTCCGCTATAGAGTGCTACTAGGGATATATGAAGCCTGACAACGTATGTCGTGCATTCGAAGTTAGCCGCTACTCCCGGCCAGTGACCCGTCTATATCCAGTTGGGATTTCTACCAAGGTGGAATGTCTGTTTCTCATCAAGCTTTCACCCTCGATCACAGTGAGCAGCAGTTGTTCAGTTCCAGCTTCCATCTCTTCAGCTGCCGCAGGGCAGGGGATGACCCGACGACATTTGGGTTAAACGTCCCATAAAACTAGGTTATGTCTTAACTTGAGGCCTCGTAAATAGTATAGTTATTGTTGATTTTTAATCCAATCAACCTATAAACTTAACCTGGTTTAGAATGTGCGGCTTGTTAAGTACCGTATTGCTTAACTCTTCCTCTACACTGCGCTATACCAGTCAATCAGTTGTGTTTTCTCCCCTCTTTGTTTTTATATGAATTTTCCCCCACCAAGCAGCGTAAGGTTTATTTCTCAAATCATGTGAATACCTTTCGCTCAGGGGTATTATTCCGAGTACTTAGCGCCATTTCGTTTGGCTCCCGACCCGTCGCGACCATCTACTTTTATGCCAAAATTGCCAGAGGGAAGTATCTAACCGGTGGTGTAGCCATCGTTTCTCTTCAATTCGCGAGGCCACTGTTTCTGCCCTTCGTTGGGTACTTTTTTGGCTTTCTGACAGTAAGTTTGCTCGTTCTGACGGAACCAAAACATGCGTTGTGTTCCTTTATGGGCTTAACTTTGTCCGCTTCATCCTTTTGCTTATGTACTTGGTTTTCTAGAACATGACTAACAATCCTGTCTTTCCAGGCTTTTCAATTTCTTCGGGGATCGCCAGGCCTTCTTACGAGGCCGGTCACCACCGTAATTTCTCCGGAAATTCAGAAATACCATCCTCACGTTGGTAACCGAGAGGTCGTTGGCTACGGTCGCAATGGAACTCTACAATATCTTGATGATCTACATTTCCCGTACCCCTCTATCCGCTTTCGTCCCCAGACTGATGAAGTTAGATAGAATTTCTATACTCAATTTTGTATTCGCAGATCGAAGTCCTCCAGCAAAAGGAGAAGGGTGATTGGCGTCAGTTATCAATTGATGAAAAGAAAAATTTATACCGTCACAGCTTTCGGATGACCTTTGCAGAAGTTCAGGCACCACATCCTCGCTGGAAGCTCGCAATCGCTTGGGCCACTTTTATTATGTCGGGTGCAATGCTTTACTTCTGTTTCATGAAATGCGTTGGTACGTTTCTCATTTCTGGTCCACTTTCTAATCTGCTTCTAGTTTTGGATCTTCCGTCCTGCTCGTACGCCCAAAAGGATTACAAAGATGCCTTACTTTACCGTCGTTTGTATAGCCGCGATGGTCCCATCGATGGCCTTGTTTCGTCTTTTGATTTCGAGAACATGAGGTGGAAGTAGTTCTGCACGAAAGACTTGCATGTACTCAGGGCTCTTTTAGACCCATCAGTAGTCTAACAAAAGTGTCTTTTTCACTTCCGCCTTTTCATCATTAGTTATGTTTTTGTTGCTGCTAAATAATTGTTGCGCATACGTTATGATTAGTTTTCGCGAATTCTGCCTGTTCTTTCGTTTGCTTGGCGTGGCCTGGCCACCAAATCAGAGGCTAACCTGATTTCGATCCTCAAAATCCGTTTCCCTAAAGCTGAGAAGATAGTAGTCGAAGACGTCAGTGGTAAGTCACCCGTCCTCTCAATCTGTTATTGCAAATGGTTAGGTGGCTGTGGCGCCATGTTTCAAATTTTCATAAAGTCCAAGGACTTCGCGGGGATGTCCGTCCTAGCTCAACACCGAGCCGTGAAGGAGGTCGGTTTGATCGATTTCTCTAAACGCGCTCTATGTAGGCTCTTAAAAAGGAGATCGCAGATATGCACGGGCTTACCTTGACGGTTGAAGAATGATCGGAATCGCGTAGAAACATGTAGAAACTTGTACATTACGCATTTGGCCCATCTTCCCCTAATATTTTTGACATTACTCAAGACTGGACCTGCATGAGTTTACAATATAAATCACACTTAGCATTTGTCGTACCACTTTCCGTGTTTTCCGTGGGTGTCCGGTTCGATTCGTATGTCCTGGTCTTTTACTCTCTTCTCACACATCCTGCGTTAAGAAGTCATCGGTTCCGAGTCCGATCGTCAGTGCCTATGTTTAGAAGTAATAACCCGGGATGCTTGCATAGCTAATAAGGACTTGGTGTTGTGCACTTCATGGAATGAGTGGCTTGCCAACTTTTATGATATTTGTTACCCAAGTTTTTTCTCAACACTGCCGAGAAATAACTCTTGTCGCCCATTAAAATCGACGCTGGCGGAAGTCGGAAGGCAGAGTGATGGCATCGGTACAGTGTACGAAATTTAATCTATCCATGTGGACGGACATAGGCTCTTGTCTTCTCATATATAGTGTAATATCGACTGAGGCCTCAGTGCCACTGCTGCCATATCAGCCCTGAATCTAATTGAAAAATGGTAGTTACTCCGAGTGGACTGTTCTTGCTCAAAAGTCACCTCTGAGGGATTGCAGCACTGCAGTTAAACACCACTGGCGGACTGATGCTGGAACTGGGCTTTTAAGGACCACCATTGTATTTTATCACCTATGATGGCTAACTGGCTCTGTGAACGATATTTACACATCTTAATGTCGACTGGTTCCGAATCGTCTGCCACGTGCTCAGACCTCAAGTTAGAAAGGGATGGAAAAGGGTAGTTGCGCTCATGGGAGGAGCGATTAATCATCGCCAATTTGAGGGTTTGGTGGGCACATGGGTAGGTTCAGTGGTGGTTGCACGTCAGTCTTCCATACCCCTCCCCCACTAGTTCCCTGCTTTCGCGTATTTCAGTTGGTTTTGTAATTATAGTCACCACTCCCGACCTAAGGGCAGACCTAGAAGGTGTAATGCCTTTGATTGCCGATTAATACATCTTAAACTTCTGGACGGTTATTCGGAATGTTCGTACACCACCGAATCCCATCATTTTTATTCTGAGAAAGATAGGCTCGTCGTCATCATCATAAGATTACTAATTAAAGGACGAAGTCGTTGAGCAAGATGTATAAAATCATGGAAAAGCGGGACTGAACCCCAAAAAGAAACTAAATTCACAGGGTAACATGTACACCGTCAACACCTCATCCCATCTCACCCGTCTCCAAAACCTGATCGCCTTTCGGCAGGGGAACTAGCAATTCGACTGGCGGTGGAGGGAAGTCCGCATAGTAAAGACTTGTTTCTGCCGACAGGGCCGGTAGGTGGTCGTGTGGGCTTGCGGCCTTTCCGGATACTGCCGAATTCTTGTTTCCTGCAGAAATTCGACGCTGGTCCTTGACTCCACTGGGGCTTGTCAATGACGCATTGGCCTCCTCGAGTAGTTTGGCGCGTTTACGAAGAATCTCAACCTACGGGGGGAAGGCGTTGGTGTTTATGAATCATTTGTAGTCAATTGGGCACCGCCACAACTCTTCCCCTAGCTACTGTTTGTTGACGGTCGCCGCTGTTTCTAGTTGAAATTGTGTACGCAGTTTGGGTAGTAGGCATTAGAAACTCGCGAACATTAATTCGTCTTGGGACCTCACAGGAGTACGTGGTCTTTATCTCGAGAAATACTGTGTACGGTTGCATGATAGATACTTCCATGGGTACAAACAAGACAGGAATCATGCTTTAGGTTTCAAACGGAATCCCTCCCTAGGTGGCACCGTGGCGCCCGTGTACCCACCCACCACTCCAAGACTAACCGGCTCAATTTCTAAGCGTCTAAAGAAGCCTGTTAGGCGTGTGCGTGATGGTTGTGGTTATACTCCTCTTCTTAGCATTCCACAGGAAAGCTCAACTTCACATACCCCACAAACTTGTTGCTGGGTGAGGTGGAGTCGCAGACTGCCACCTGATTTAAGTTCAGGCCTTGCCTGTTAACCAGCTATCGAATTTCTGAACTTTAGGTCGAGCCCGTTACCGTTTAGAATGACAATTCGACTGTGTCGATGGATGCAAAAAGGCAAGATCCGGATAATGGCTGGGAAAGTAGACTGCGTCGCTGGAATGTGATTTGAAGTAAAAGCGGCTGTCAGACGTAGCTCACAGCTCAGTCGACAAAGCGCCAAATGCGGAATGAAACTGGCTGACGGTTTGAGTCTCCTTACGCGCATATCTTCTTCATGAGCTCACTGTTTCTCCATAGTCTGAATAGATTGGACAGACCTCGTTGGTAGCTATCTGGTTGAGCCACTTTGTACAATTTACCTACAATGCCTACGCTGTCGTCTCGTACTGCGCACGCAGTCCAACGAGTCAGACAGAAAAAACTAAATCTACGGTCATGTCAGGCAGAGTTAGGAAAAGTTGAGTTCGCATTGTTGGCCTGCCGGCCTCCCGCAGTATTCGCTAGGCACTAGCCAGTTTGTTTCAATTACTCAGTCTTCAAATTGCTATCCGTGTTTTGTCAATTCGATTTTATCATAATGAGCGTCGTTTAGATTGAATATCTGGATTGTTCAGTCTATCTACGTCACCATCGCCACCTACTGGGAAACTGACACAGTCGGAGCAGTGCTGCTCGCCATTCAGCGGCGGTCCCATAGCTTATACGAGAGAAGTGCGGAGGGCCGTTTAGAAAAGGCTACTGGTTCTTCTCACATCCCATCTGATAATGCTGCTAGTCAGGCATATCCATCCGGACATTTGGTGCCCCTTCTCCCTGACTTTAGCGTTTCCAAACTGTTTCTGTCTCTGTTCACGTGCCGGCTCGGACTGCGCTCGAAATAGCAAGTGGGCCGTTTTGCATTGCCTGTACGTGACCTATTTGCGGAGGCCATCTCAAATATATGTTCAATAAGGCGGGGGGAGGGGGTTGAGAGGGAACTGTGGTGTCCTTCGCAGAACACTCCTTCATTGCTAGCCTGATGTCGGCTATGTCCGTTAGAAAAAGAGCTCGGGAGTGATCAGTTTAGGCCGGTCTTAGACTCATCTGGGTGGGGTTTTTGATTAGGGCGGCGGTGCCGCTTGAATGCCACTGTTGTTCGTTTGGAATTTTGGCCGCCCAGTGGGCGTAGTTCAGCCACCGAGTACTGACCTCGCCTAGCTTGGCATACGTGTACTTTTTCTTGTCCTCTCAGCCGGTTCGTTGCGATACTAAAGAAGTGAGTGTGACAGCAACGAAACTCTGGTGCATAGAATACCGTTACCGAGAGACAATGGAGGCTGAAACGGCCGTTTCCGGCTTATTAGACGTCATCGGCCAGCCATCCCCGACACCGGGTTTGCAGTCCCTGAGGCTCGACCTGGCAACCTGTTGATTAGAAGTCCAAAGCATTAACCATTTAGTTTCGGGATCGTTGTCCTGTTAGTTGCGATCGCGTATGCTAACAATGGTAAAGTGGGGCTCACCGATCGCGCAACCGGACAAAATCGTCCCGTTTTGGACTCGAGATTGAGCCCCAAGACACAAAGAGACGAGTGTGCCCCGTAGCACGATCGGTGGGCGCTCCTCTACCACTCTGCTCCATTTGACCAGTACGGACGTTCATCTCACTGGCATGTATCTTGGAGTACACTCTGTACAACGTTTCTTACGAGGGGCACGGGTCAGAAATTTAAATCAGTTCAATCATGACTGCAATCTACGTAGGAAGGGACTTGGAGCTATTAGGTCATTCAGATGTTGCTCGCATGTTAGTTCTATCTGAACAGGATGGTGCGGAAGACTGATTTTACATGTCTAATGTGACTTGTGACTCCTATCGTGGTCAGGACAGAAAAGTGCCAAGCATCCAGTTTATCTCACTTTCCACGGGCATCCTACACAGCTTCGTTTAAGGTTTTATTTAGGTAATACACAGAGACTGGGAACTTGCCGGGTTCGCAGCTTTCTTACCTGGGCTCGGAGGGAGTAAATAACGCTCTCAAGATGAGTGCGCACGTCAGCCGGAAGCAGTTCTGCGGTCCTTTGTTCTTCCTCGGCTTGTCTTGCCTCATCAGCCTCTAGCCACTCTCGTTCCCTACGTCGGAGGGTCTCCTCTGCGCTGCAGGTGCGAGCCCTTTCTCTCGCCAGGGCGTCACGTAAGTTCTAAGCAATGTGGGGGGGGGAGGGGAGAGAGCGATAATAGAACAAAAGTAAGAGGCAAGGACGACGTTGAGGTTGTCGAAACCGAACCCACTTCTGCGTACCCCGCAGTTGTTAACTCCCTCTTTTAAGTGGGCGTGTCACCATTAGACGGTAATCATTCCTGCACGATGGAGTCGACTTGAGCGATATAGGCACAGGTCAGGAGCGGATGGATTTTGCATGAATAGAAAGGGCTAAGGTCTATAAGCGACTAGTAATATCCACTTAACTCTGTTCGTGTCAACCTGCCTCGCATAAATCTTCTGTAAAAATGAGTCACCGTCAAGGCGACAGGTCGGGAAATTCGCCAACGAATCGTAATTTATTGCACAATGTGGACTGAGCAGTCATATCCTGACCCACATCTTCAACCGAAATAATGGAGGTTCCTCAAAGCTGTTCACAGGGTATAGAGAATGTGCTGAGGCGGTCTGAGTGTAATAGGATTTGTCCGGAGCTTGTTAAAAGCGATGGCGAGCCCTCTTCCTCGCCCAAAAAATCGAACTCTCCGTGGCTCACACAAGGGCCCCTACTGCGGGCGCCTGTTTCGACATCGCGCCTCTTGCGAGCGCCTGCACGCGCGCATCAGCGGCAGACTGGCTTTCGACCGTCACAGCTTTCCATCTGGCCAATCATCTTCAAGGCCGAATCAGACGTGCTCTCGCGTAGGGCGCCATGACGCATACATTGCTCTCACTCGGGACGCCGCTCTCCCGGCGCCGGGCGTCTAGCTGCCAACTCTCTCCGACCGTTCTTCAGTTATTCTGTGCAGAATAAACTACTCTCGCAACTGGTGTCCAATTCCTTCCCTTTCTACTCGGGATCGAGCCTGAAGGTCGTAGCGGCTAGGGTCTCCCTATGGCAGGCGTGGCTTGTCACCTGGCCTTGACCCTTTGTGCCTCGTGATCATGCAACCCCCGATTCAGCCCGCAGACAAACCAATCAAATGTTCGACAATCGGCCAGTCATTTTCTCTCATGCTGGCACTGATATGTCAGGTCCGCGCAAAAACCACATCGCTACTCACGCGTTCTATAGCAGACGCCTCGTTTTCACCCACGTGCAAACTGCCGACTCACTGGGACCTATTCCCCGTAGAGGATAAACGAGCTCTCTGGCTTCTGTTGTTATAGCGGACAAACTTCTTGTGGGGAGTCCTTGTGTGGCGTCCTTGGCCGCCACATATTAATGACCCCAACGCATTCCGGACACGCAACCTTGACCGCCACACTCTAACTCAAATGTTCTGCTACGCGATCGATAAGTAGCCCCATGGGACTGGCTCAGGAGTTATAGCCTGAGATCCTATGTACTCCAGCTCCCAGCAAATACATTGAAACGCCAACCAATTGTCGCTATAAAAAAGAATACCTGTTGGAACTGCCCTACGAAGTAGTTGGGGATGAAATTCTGCTTAAATGGAATCCGGTCCGAAAAGTAGATACGACAGCAAAAGGGCGGAAAAAGCACACAGAGAACCGAAATGGCTACACAGGCCGTCTTGATCAATGTTTATGTTTTTTCAGGCGCAGGAAAACCAACAGCGTTAGCCCGGCGAACTGCCTTCCACCACCAGAGGCAGTCGTAAAATGGAAGAGGTACCCAAACTTTATTAGACACGGCCATGAACTGGACTTGGGTTTTGCTATCAGAATCATTACGAGGCGTTGAAGAAATATTTTAGGAGTTGTAAACGTTTACGGCCCCGGTTTTCCGAACGCAGACAAGTTTCTGTCACTAAGACAAATGATCATCCCTCGTTCGATGAATCTGTCGACTAACATAAACTCTGTTAGGCGAGGCTGTATGTGTGCCTCTCAGTCCCTATTGACACTGTCAGACATTTGGACATACAGTAAGTGAGCTAACTCATGAAATCCCGACAGAAATTCCGAAATACGTTTTCGTTTCGACAAGATTAATTAAGAAGGGTTGTAAAACCAATCATCGTACAGCGTAATTCTATAAGAATTCAGTTGCCCCCGGACGCCGGCTTTCGAACAAACTTCTTTTTGGCTGCATCTAAAAACCATACTCTGTAAAAAATGTTGACTTAAGTAGCACGAATGTTTCCCATTGATTTTCGGTGCCCTTAAAGATTCAAATATATTTCATGGGAAACATTCATAAAAATATTCATTCTTTTGCTTATTCGGTTGAAAATTACGTCTTCTTTCAATTTTACACTCAAAAGAAGGATATAATTCGGTTTTAAAAAAATTTCTAACTGTGGGATTTTCTAATACCTTGAGATGGCCCTCCACAAAACGTCATGTCTCTGCATTTACCAACGTGGCTTGTAAAGTTAACAGTGTGGCTCAAATCCTCTGCTTAATTTCATGAACGCCATTAGGTCCCACTTTATTACTGTAGAGAAATGTATGGTTTTCCGTAAGCGGAAATTATACGGCTTGTTGTTTGGGAACCCTGAATGCAAGTGTAACGACAGGTTGGGTTCAAAATTATTCCGGAATTGGAGAAGTTAAATAAAACCAAGCTATACCCTTCCTTCGAGTGTGAAATTGGAAGAACACGTAATGTTCTACCGAATGAGCAAAAGAATAAATATTTATATGCATGCTTTCCATGAAACATATTTGAATTGTTAAGGACATCGAAAATCATTTGAAAAAATGCATACTACTTAAATAGTCATTTTTTACGAAGTGTGGTTTTTAGATGCAGCCGGAAAGAAGTTTGTTCGAAAGCCGGCGTCCGGGGGTAACTGAACTCCTATAGAATTATGCTGTACGATGATTGGTTTTACAACCATACTTAGTTGATCTTTCCAAAACGAAAACGCATTTCGGAATTTCTGTTGAGACTTCATGAGGTAGCCCACTTACTGTATGGGTTCAGAACGTTTAACAGCGACCTCCATCCGTGTATACAAGGCATTCCTCACCACGCAAGGCTGCCTTCGGCCTCAATATTCAGAGCTTCCTACGATAGACGGTCACTGGGAACGAGTGACATTGCCATGTTAGTGGAGACCACGACAGTTCGACCACTGGGTGTCCCACAACACGGTAGGCGCACGGACGTCGACTTGGGCGTGAGCTAGTTTAAAGTGATTGTAGACTTGTGCAGCACCCACTTCGCCACCCCCTCCCTCGACCACATGAGTGCGGTGTCAGGACAGAGCCAAAAAGACCGGAGGCCGGATCAGGCGCGGTAACTGTGACATAGCTGAACAGATCGTCCACTCAAACCACACGTACACGCCTGGTGCACGCAAGGTGGACCTGGTTTTCACACGAACAAGAAAGATGGAGGACGATTCGGATTCCATCCATGTGGAAGTGCCATAGAGATCACATTCAAAAGGAGCCATTGCAGCCTAAACCTCTGTCGGGAGACGACAGAGTTGCCTCGGCGTTGGCAGCCCTTGAGGCCAACTGATAGGACGAGGAATATGTGCTGAGGGCCGTGGGGGCGGACGGAGGCCCCAGAGTCGACCTCACCCTCCTACCACTCCAAAGCATCAGTCCACTGTCCGAGCCGACCAGCTATCTGGTGGGGGAATTGGACGCTAGTGGTTGGCGTGGCTTGAGCCTACGCCTCCACCCCATGGGTGCGCAGCCCAAATAACCCGTTCCGTGCCCTGATCTGCCACCCCCCCCCCCTGTTGGTCCAACGCAAATCCCGCATGGTCCATTTTTGGCGGGCGCCAGTGACTTGCCCATGTCACAGTTCGTGCGTCGAGCACGGATAAAATACCAGGCGAGCATTAAGGCTGAAGCAATCAAGGCCCTAAGAAAGAACCGGCACACCACTCTGATGATGGGAACGAGGGAGTTTCCGAAACGTCAGTCCAAGTATACTTCGGTCCACGAAATCGTCCTTCTTTCGAGGGGTATAATTAACACGAATCTTCACGCATACACATGCATATATATTTGCGTTTTAGTAGATCAGGACTCACGTTGACCTCCTGCTTGTGTCTGTCCTTGAGCTGGCCGATGGTTTCTTCGCATTGCTCTCTTAGTTCTATACATTTTGCCTCCAACTCCGCGACTCGTTTCGAGTACTGCTCTTCTGTGATCCGGGACGTATTTCGAGCCTCCTCTAGGGCCTAAACAGATGAAAGTAAAAATAATCAACGGGTCGCCATGAGGAAGGTTAGACAACAGTTTGTGCGTCATTAAAAAGCTAGTCGTACTACGTCTCTACTTCAGTCCGCCACGTCTGAAACGAACAACGGGCACCAAAATGTGATCTAAGCCCTAAAATGATTAGAGATGGAAATATTCCTATCTCGTGACCGAATTCAGGAGACGACTAAGAGGGATCTGTTTCGGGGATACGTTTTTATACGTAGAAAATTACCTTGCATCCTGGTTATTCACTAAAAGTACAACAAAGGAATAGTAAATGGAATTGTCGTCTAAACCGCGTCTGGTCATAACAAGACTGTCGTTCGAACTGTCGCACCCGAGCGTGTTTTAATTGCAGGCCATCGCGCATCTCATACGTAGGTAGGAGGTCAACTCCGAGTTGGCCGAGTTGCCAACTGCCTTTGCGCGCACCCAATGTATTTTCATCCGCAACTACACGCAAACCCATAGACACAGTTTGGTGTGGCGTATATAGGCATCTGCCAACGAGGCCGTCGCCTGATCACGTTTGCCGTGCTATTGCCCTTTAAAAAGGTATGTGCTCACAGACTTTTTGGTGCAACCTTTTATGCTGGGATTTCTTGTCTGGGGTGGCGGTGCTCGTCGCCTAACACCTCCAACCTTCCGTTTCCAAGAGGGACGTCCTTCAAGAAGCTGATTTACTCATTGATCTGAGGAACGGATTCTAGTTGCTCTTTTGAACAACCACAAAACAAAGTTCCACTTTCTCTGGATTGGAGGGAAACCGAGAAAGTGTATGTACTGTCCTTTCCAAGTGGTTTTTCGACAGGTGGATCTCTGAATGGAGCCATCTGCCCGTCTACGTACAAGAACGTCTAAGAAAGATAGTGTGTATCGTTCTGCTCGTGTCCAATCCTAAATTTCACCTTTGAATGTGCCGAGTTTATAGTCTTGAATAGTAATTCTCCGTCTCTCGAGCTGTTGACTAGGACAACAATGTTATCCACATTGCACATATGGGATGCAGCTCCCTGTGAGTTTTAGGCAAATTCTCCCTCGAGACTTGACATGGAAACGTCCGCTATCACTGCCCGTAGCTACATCATTGATCTAACTATACTGCTACCAGTTAAACAAAGACTGTACATTCTTAATGCGTCACCACAGTGGATCCCGCAGTTGTTTCGGCTCCAAACATGTTTCAACCGTGTGCTCACAAATTATGTAAATGCTTGACATGGCATGTTTACAAATAGCCGCTGCACTTAAAGCTATATCATTCGCTTATTTAGTAGATTTTGGTCATTCAACTCATTTACGAATGAGAAGGTATCTTTGGTATTGCAAGCAGCAAGATTGCGCCTAATTGGTTCGACTTGTTGGACTAACCACTGAATGAGTTTATGCTGGGGTGAATTCCTCATTGATTAGATTGGTCGAAACGGTACTCCTGGTCTGTGGATTTTTGGTGGCCGGTAAATTCTGAGAATATGTGAACCTTCAGGCCCAAGATATGCAGCCAGTTTCTCATAGGGACTTCACTTCTTTCCCGATAAGACTGCTTTCTAGTTGAACAATTTATCTTCCTAGCATTCAATGACCGTACACAGTTGAGGAGGTCGCGAAATTTTATGACGTCATTCAATTCCGAAGATTTCACTGCCTTTGCCTTTTTTAATTTATTCGGGGAAAAATGTCTCAATTGTCTGATCGACTCAGGGTGGCGCTAGATGCAGTACGGATACGTACCCGCTGTAGTGCGCCAGTGAAATGCCATTTTGACTTAGTCGAGCTTCAGGCAGAAAGAAGGACGGTACTACGAGGATATGGGTCGTTAGCCCTGTTAGTGCCTTTACTGTCTCACGAAACGCCAACGACAACTTTTAACCGCATGGTGTCAAAATTCTGATCGAAGAAGGCACAAATTACAACCGGCAGGTTGGCGCCAGACAGCGCCAACTGAACTTACCATCCACCAATCAAATGTAAGGTTTGTGTAGGTTGCTTCAGTCCTTCACACTGCCTGGCAGGCACATCTTCGAAATATGCGTGCGCGCATGCACCTGACCAATGCCTGCGAGGCAGGACTGCTGTGTGCTATTTTAGCATTATGGTATAGGCTAGTGCTTATAAGACCTCAACAAGTTCATCAAAACAATCGCTGCGTTTTCTGCAAACCCTCAGTTTGAGTCTTCAACGGAGAAAGTTTACTGTCGCATAGTCAGCCGCCTGGTATATGTGCTTCGAATCCACTAGCACTAGATGGGTTTTGCTAAACAGCCGTCTGCTACTTGACGTATGGGATACTTTGTGAGGCAAATTTGATAAATTGCGTTAGTGTGCATTTCAAGCACGAGTCTGTTGGGACAGGACCTTCGCAAAACACCGCCTTACCTGGGACGCCTCCAAGAGCTTAGCCTCATAGCCTTCTTCGAGTTCTTTGCGCGTCTGGCGGGAATGAAGGAAAGAAAATTTCATTTAAAGATGGAGAAGAAACTGCGTAAACATTGAAACTCAAGATCGGTCTTGGCATAAGGCAAACCTAAGTCAGGTACTTGGCGAATCAGTTGTGGACTGTTGTGGTTTTATATGATGAGTGATCAAAATTTCTGATAAATATTTTGTGTTACTAGAGTCTACTTGACATGCTTCACAATGTTGTCCTGCAGGAGTTAGACAAGATTGCCTTCATCCAACATGAACCGGTGTTTTGGCGCCGTTACGTTGACGACACGTTCATCATCGTAAAGAAGGACCTGCTGCAACATTTCTACAGCCTGCTCAACGCAGTCTTCCCGATTATAAAATTCACGAGGGAAGAAGAACAGGAATAGCAGTTGCCCTTCCGGGATGTGCTTGTCAGACGAAACCTTAACGATGAACTTGAAACGACGGTTTATAGGAAGGCAACGCACACCACACAGCTTCCCAGTTTTCACTGCAACCATCCGGGGCTCACAAACGAAACCGTGTGAAGACGCTCTTAAAAGGATCAAAACTCATTGCAGCAAATCGGTGGACAGAGCACGTGAGGCCCGTTATCTCCGCAACCAGGTTGCGCAAAATGGCTATATGATTCTCCGTACGCGGAAAGCATGCATCTTGTAGACTGAAATCGTCAAACGCTAATGCAGTGGCAGATCAGGCTCAAAAGTTTTTGGAAATTGGAAAACTTTTGAAACCTAAATATACACTTTCTTCGGGCATAAAATGTGAATACAATGTGATTTTCTACCAAAAGAGTAAAGCAAAGCATATTTTTGAGCATGTTTTCTATAAAATATATTTGAATTCACAAGACCATCAAAAATCTATAGAAAAAGTAGTCATTTTTTTACGAAAGGCAGTTTCTGCAGGTCAAAAAAGTGTGCATCGAAAAGCGGACATCCTGGTGAGTCCGAAATGCCATAGGATTATGCTGCATACCTATCCTTATTGCAACCCCATCTAAGTAATCCTTGCTGATCGAAAACGTATTTCAGAATTTCGGCCAACATTTCATGAGGTCGGTCACGCACTGCATTTACTAGCCAGTGAGGGGTATAAGGACTATCGATCCTTAGAGACCATGCTGCCGCACCGTTCCTCACCACTAATGCGATTAAGGCGGATATATCGCGCAGTGCTTCTCAAGCTCTGATGATTTAAATGCATAGATTATTACGCTACTTCAGTACTCTGGAGTCCGGCTTTCATTCTGGGACAGTTCGACCGCCGCCAGTAACCAGTTCCACCGTGTGTCCTACCAGGATCCGATGACAAGGCGACCGGAGGCAGGCTCTGTAGAAACAGACTAAACACAAGGACATATAACTGGCTGAAATCTTTTCTGTCTAGACAACATTGTGAAGGAGAGTCGAGCACCGGAACACTTTGTTTATTGTCCTGAGCTTTCAGACTCGTACAGGAGTCCATCGTCAGAGGTAGTGGCAGCAACAGAACAAGCGACAGTTATAAGGCATGTAGACCAATCACCGATCGACAGCGCAAGACTGGAGGTGACTACGCAGGGTTCTGTATGCCGGCGCCAGATCGATAAATCGATTGACCGAGTTCTCATCCGAGGCGCAGGCTTCAATCAATTCTCTGCCTGTTTTGTTTCCTGCGTGGGCGACTATTTTGGTGGCTGCGAAGTTAAACTAGTGACCCATTTCGTAGGTGTGGGCGGCCACTTGTGATAATGCGTCGCCTCGTCGCACAACCAGCTTATGTTCATGTATGCGCGATCCGAGCATGCGTCCAGTCTGCCCTGCGTAGTTACAAGGACGATTTTGACACGGAATGCGATACACTCCTCCTGATTGCTCTTCAGGCATTAACCGGTCTTGGATTTTCATGACCCTATTGCGCTTGGTGGATTTGGGGCGGTGTGCAATTCCAACACCTAGCTCAGCAGCCATGCGCTCGGTCGTTTCTGAAACGCCCTTGATGTATGGTAGAATATGCCATATCGTCAGTGGTGTTGATGTTCGAGTTCTCTGATGGCGACCGCGTAGGCAACGACTTATGAATGCCCTCGGATAGCCATTTTGCACAACCTGGTCGCGGAGATAACGGGTTTCACGTGCTCTGTCCTCCGGTTTGCTGCAATGAGTTTGGATCCTTCTAAACAGGAGATCTGACGGTTGCATCCGAACGACCGTCTATCGGAAGAAAACCTGGTCTAGACAATACACGAACTTCGCTAGTTTCGCACCTCTTTAACAAAAACGGAATCTAGTCAGGTGTTTGGCACAAAGGGCTAAAAAAATTTGTTCAGCAGATAGTACCGAGGAGGAACTTATAAAAATCCAGGACTTGCTTCGCGAAAATGGGTACCCTGACAGGTTCATTGCAAAGAACCTTTCGAACAACCCGCAAAACCCACCACACTAACCGCCGAAAAGAAAACGTTGTTCCTCAAAGTCCCCTTTGAAGGAGACGCTGCAGGTGAACTCCTAAGTAGATGCCTTGACCAAACTGTCTCGGGAACCTTCCCAGCAGCAAGCGTTCGCATATCATTCTCTACAAACCCTATTCTACGCGGAGAAGGCAAGGATAGGCTGCCACCTCAGACCGCCTCAATGTGCATCTACTCATTCACTTGCTCCTGTGGAGCAGGTTACATTGGATGCAGGAGTCGGCGACATTCCAAAAGAATACGAGAGCACCTTCCCGCATGGCTGGCAAAGGGTGAACCTGGGAGAATAGACAGCGCCATCCTTGCGCATGCAGTGGACTCAGGGCATCGTGTGGACCCCATTGAAGCATTTCGTGTGATTTACAAGGTCACCTCGAGCTACCCTAAGCTACTGGGCCAGCGCCTGTTAGCAACAGCAGAGGCGGCCGCCATAAGGTTACGAAAACCGACCCTATGCGCCCAAGAGAACCTTGTTCAGACTCCGCGCTTACCGTGGTCAAAGGTTGACCAACCACATACAACTTTCTGCGCCCTTCCGCTCTTGCCTAGCCTGTAATTTAAAACCTCACTTTTATCGATTTTTGTTTCACTCACTGTACCCCGCCCTATGTAACTGTATTAGCCTGATGAGTACTTACCGAAAGGAACCTTCACTCGCCACTGTCTCTTCTGAACATAGTTATGGGGATTCATCTATGCCTTTAAGAAAGTACCACATAAACTTCCTAAAATTTCGCAATGGATCCGGACTGTGTTGTTCATTTCATTAGGAGCATTGGTAAACGGACATGTACGATGTTGTATATCCGGACATCGCACGGTCTTAAAAATCTCATAATTAGAAACTTTTTTATAAACTAAATATACACTTTCTTCAGGTATAAACTATGAAGACAGTGTGATTTTCTACCGAACGAGTAAGAGAAGGCATATTTTGTGCATATTTTCTATAAAATATATTTGAATTTACAAGACCATCAAAAATCTATAGAAAAAGTGCATGCTCCATAAGTAGTCATTTTTTTTACGAAAGGCAGTTTCTGCAGGTCAAAAAAGTGTGCATCGAAAAGCGGACATCCTGGTGAGTCCGAAATGCCATAGGCTTATGCTGCATACCTATCCTTATTACAACGCCACCTAAGTAATCCTTTCTGATCGAAGACGTATTTCAGAATTTCGGCCAACATTTCATGAGATCGGTCATGCACTGTACATGGATCGTGTGTGGCTCGCGCAGATGGGCCGTTTAGCACTGTCAATCATTGAACCTAATCCCGCATCCAATGACTGACCGGCTCGGAGAGCGGACTGATGCTTGGGAGTGCGAATAGAATTGAGTTCCACTCTGTGGACTGCATCCGCACGACACTCAGTGCATATTCCTCGCTACAAACCATCTGACGCGCTTTAAAGCATCACAGCGCACCAAAAGCCATGACTTGAAAGGCTGTCAATTGGCAGGGCAACTCGGCTTTCACAGGACGGAAATTCGGGCTACAATTGCTCCTTCACAATGTGGCCTCTGTTTCTACCGCTAAGATGCGATAAGAGAGACGTTTTTGTTGTTTCTATGAAAATGCCGGTCCATCGCGCGCGGAGTAGGCTTATGGCAAGCGTAAATGGGTTACCTGGTTTTGTCAGCCATTGTGCCTGGTCCCACGGTCTTCTTAACTTTATCACGACACTGGATCCAGGTAGGTGAAGAGGGAGAAGAGGGCGCCGTGGATGCAGTGCAAGTCTCCTATCCTCATAAACTAGTTCAGACGCAAGTCACCGTTCCTACGTCCCCTGTGTTGCTCGCCATACGGTGAATGTCGTCGCTTGCAACGGTCGATCTGTTGGGGTGTTATTATGCGCAGTGACCGGCGCGACCTAAAGTCACTGTCCGAAACACTAAATAGGGATTAAAAAGACTTGACTCTTCCTCTCCCATGTCCTGTGCGTGTCAAACCTACTGGGGATAAGACTGTGCACAGTGGTTTACTTGACGTAAACCCAGAGAACTCGGTTCCAACGCGGGTGAGAGACACCATAACGGCTGCAGTAAGAAGCAGCTATTGCAGTCTGATCCTCTTGCAGGGGAGAACCGTGTTGCCCCGCGTCAGTCAGCAGCATTCTAAGCCTCGAGTTATCGCCGTTAGATTTAATGTAGTCAAGGGTTCCCAATGGCTTTACTCTGCCGTCTTCCTCGCATGCGCTAGTTAGTCGTCTGATCACCTCCTGATAACTGGTGGCGGCAGCAGTTGAAGGAGTATGAGTCTCCGTCTACCGTGTGCCACACGCATGTACGCCGGTAGTTAAGAGTTCACGCAAACTCAACGCGCCACAGCTAAGACACGCCATGATCCTTGCTTTGACCTAGAGCAGTATCAGCACAGTTGGATGGATGGGGGAGCTCACCCAGTCAAGCCATCGCCCCTTATACCCGGACACAGTCGTCGGGCTGTGTAGTCAGATGACTACTATCGCCGACAATGCAGCGATTGGGTCAGATGTGATTATGTAGCCCCGCCTGATGTTAACGAACCCCAGCCAGCTGTAATACGGGACCGATGGTAATAGGGTTTTTACAGGTGGGGCCGCGGAACGCACAAGCGAAGAGGTAAAATAGTTGTATGTAACAGAAAAACTATTGGGGATGCGCGGTTGTACTTTGAGTAGTTGAGAATTAGTTGCCCTAATCTCTAACCTCAACCCGTAACCCTAACCTTAACAGCATTGTGTCCATCAGGTTGGGCTACACAACCACATCTTACCAACGATTGTACCACGGATTTAGCCTCATCGTCAACAATAGCAGTACCTACTTGGAAGATGGCATGACTTGACCGTTCTGTAATTGCAGAGAGGGTTTCGGGATTATTAGCCTTCATTCAGCCAATCATATCTGAAACCGGAAACACAAATATGCATATACACACATGGCGTAAATGACCCACCATCGGGGTCAACCAGATAGATCATAAGCCCTTCATCGAACCGAAGTTCATTAGTGCCTTGACACCTGTCCTTCTCTGTCGCTGCGGACCGGGTAATTGTATAATCAGGAATGGGTACACACCGATCCACTAGTTTTCCAAAACCAACAAACTCTGATCTGCAGCGACAGAGAATGATAGAGGGCGAGGCACTGATGTACTTCGGTTCGATGAAGTGTTTATGACCCATCTGCTAGACCCCGTCTGTGGACCATATTCGTCGTGTGCGAGGGCGTGTTTGTGTTTCTCTTCACAGATGTTGGCCTTTGATTGGCTCAACAAAGGTAGCATAAGTAAAAAACCAGTTCTGTGTCTGTCTACCTGCACTCTGTCGTCTCCCCCTTCGATACTATAACGTGACCGATTTCAACCCGGTGTTTGGTTGTCTGTTTGTGACCTTGGCCACCCATGCGGAACATTTTTTGCTGCGGGAAATTTATGGATCCGTGCGCGCCCCAAAACAAACCTAACTTTTTTAACTGCTGAACAGGGAATAACTGTTATGGGGAAAATGGAACAAATACCAGACCCTGTCAACTGCTGTCTTGAGCTCCTCGGCCTGGTGGGCTCTTTCTTCTGAATACCTTTCCTCACATCGCTTGCGGTCGTTCTCCATCTGAGCTCTAGTCTGGCGCCTCACCTCCGCCAGACTGGCCATATGATTGGCTTTCAGGTCCTTCAGCTTCCGTTGGGCGGTCTTCTTGAAGGCAATCTGGCGGTTTCTAGTTGCATTTTCTGAATTGATAGCATCCCGTAGTCGTTGCCGTGTCTCTTCTATTTCCATTTGCAGTCGCTCATTGGCCATTTGGGCCTCATGAAGCTGGATTAGACCAAGAAAGTGAGATTTTAAACTTTAGGATATGCGCGGCTACAAAGTGACGCATGGTCTTGGTGGCATTGGGACAAAACACATCGATTCCCCAGCAGTCTCGCTTGACTGATGTTAGCAAACCGAAACTCCAACGTCGCATGGCAACTCGCCAAAACATAAGAGTCCTGCTGGTATCCGGCCACCTAGTTGTGATCTGAGCAACCAGCTTCAGAGGCTGCTTTTCCTTAAAAATCAAGCAAATCGGTATACACCGATTCCATTGTGCATAGAATAGGTGGACTAACTCATGAAATGTCAACCCGAAATTCCGAAGTGTGTTTTCGTTTCGAAAAGATTAATTAAGCAGGGTTGTAAAATTAATCATCGTGCAGCATAATTCTATACTAATTCAGTCACCTCAGGATGTCGGATCTCGAACGAACTTCTCTTCTTTCCGGCTGCATGCAAGAAACCATATTCTGTAAAAAATGACTACTTATGTAGCACGCATTTTTCTCATTGATCTTCGGTGCCCTTAAAAATTTAATTATATTTCGTGGGAAGCATACATAACAATATTCTTTATTTTAGTCACTCAGCAGAAAATGACGTCTTCTTCAAATTTTGTACTTGAAGGGATGGTATTATCCGATTTTCAAAAACTTTTCCAATTCCCGAAAAATTTTGAACCCGACCTGCTGTTACACTTGCATTCAGTGTCCCCAAACTACAAACCGTACATTTTCCGCGTGCAGAAAACCATAAATTTCTCTACAGTATTAAGAAGGGACTATATGGGGTCCATAGAATTCAGCAGTGGATTTGAACAATGTTGTTAACTTTACGACCATAATGGGAAATGCAGAGATATGACGTTTTATGAACGGTCATTTCACGGTATGTAAAAGTCCCGCAATTAGGGACTTTTTTAAAACCTAATTGTACTTTTCCTTCGGGTATAAAATTGGAAGAAGGCGTAACGTTTACCGAATGAGCAAAAGAATGAGTATTTTTATGCATGTTTTCCATGAAATATAATTGAGTTTTTAAGGGCGTCGAAAATCAATGAAAAAATGCGTGCTATTTAAGTAGTCATTTTTTACAGAGTGTAGTTTTTGCATGCAGCCGGAAAGAGGTTCGTTCGAAAGCCGACGTCCTGTGGTAACTGAATTATTATAGAATTATGTAGCAGGCTGATTAGTTTTACAACCCTAATTAATTAATCTTTTCGTAACGAAAAGGCATTTCGGAATTTCGGTTGACATTTCATAAATTAGCATACCTATCGTATGTACCCCCTCGAAAATCGGCCATTTTGATCGACAGTACCACCAACTAGAGATAATTTGGACATACATGTAACAACTGTTGTCTCGGTCCACCCCTCTTTGTTCTGCACTCCCCACACGTAATTCTTTATTAAAAAGCAACAGATTTGTCCGCAGATTAGGGTATGTAAGAGGTGTCTTCCTATGCCTATTCCTACCGCCTACATCTCCACCATGTCCGGATAACCCGACGCTCGTGTTTGTCCGTTGTTATGGCATGAATCATCATCTATGACGAATACAAGGCAAAACATTTTGCTGAATCAGGAGGACGTCGGAACGTCCTTAAGGCATAGTTATTGATTATTTAACTGTACTCGCAGCGTGTGAACCAACCACTGCTTTACCGATTATATGGTTTTGCAAGACACAGCTGCGGGGCCCTCAATGTTCCCCTGGTGCAATCCGGCACACATTCCGGACATTAATTTCAAGCCTTTTAATGTTCCCAAAATTCATGCTCTAACTAGAATGGCATTTTTCGGCATACTCCTTCTCATTTCGCTCTGAACGATTTACGGTAGTAGGGTAGAGATACAATCGAGAACTGATAAGTATATTTACCTACGTAGGCATTATTCGGTGGAGTTTTTGGTCCGCATCCAGACATGCGCCTTGACGGTTTACTCCTGCCAGAATGACATTTTTTGAACTAAACTCCCCATTCGAGGACGCGGTGCTACAAAAATGGCTGTATGGACTAATTGTTCTGCACTCCCCACACCTGATTCTTTATTAAAAAGCAGCAGATTTATCCGCAGATAAGGGTACGTAAGGGGTGTCTTCCTATGCCTATTCGTACCGCCTACATCGCCATCATGTCCAGGTAACCCAACGGGGAACACTACAACTCGACCTACTCTTTTACATCCGCAATATGGCCTGCGGACGCGGTGCTACAAAAATGGCTGTATGGATTCCTTGTTCTGCACTCCCCACACCTGATTCTTTATTAAAAAGCAACAGATTTGTCCGCAGATAAGGGTACGTAAGGGGTGTCTTCCTATGCCTATTCGTACCGCCTACATCGCCATCACGTCCAGGTAACCCAACGGGGAACACTACAACTCGACCGACTCTTTTACATCCGCAATATGGCCTGCGCAGTTCAGCTCAAATAAAAGGCGGAACTAAACTAAGTCCAAGTGGACCCATATCGCTCTGCCGGACACGGAGTCTCCTTCGGGTAGTTACATTTTAAGGTGCCTCCACTACGATTCTGAGGTCCCAGTGGTATAACACGCATTACCACCATTCCCGTAAGACATGCTCCAGCGGTCGCCCTTTTCTGACCTCGGTCATATACAGTAGGTGAGCTAACTCATGCAATGTCAGCCGAAATTCCAAAATGCATTTTCGTCTCGAAAAGATTAATTAAGTAGGGTTGTAAAACTGGTCAGTCTGCAACATACTTCTATAATATTTCAGTTACCGCAGGATGCCGGCTTTTGAACGAACTTCATTCCGGCTGCATGCAGAAGCTACACTCAGAAAAAAATGACTACTTAAGTGGCGTGCACTTTTCGCATTGATTTTCGATGCCCCTAAAAGTCCAATTGTATTTCATGGAAAACATGCGTAAAATATTTATTCTTTTGCTCGCTCGGTAGATAATTAAGTCTTCTCCTTATTTTATACTCGAAGAAGGGACATAATTCGGTTTTAAAAAGGTTTCTAACTGTGGGCCTTTTAAATACTGTGAAATGACCATTCATAAATCGTCATATCTATGCATTTACCCATGTGGCTTGTAAAGTTAACAATATGGATCAAATCCACTGCTAAATTTTACTAACCCTCTATGATCCCCCTTTACTACCGTAGAGAAATGTATGGTTTTCCGTACGCGGAAAATATACGGCTTGTAGTTTGGAAACCCCGAATCCAAGTGTGACGGTAGAACGGGTTCAAAATTATTCGGGAATTGGAAAACTTTTTGAAAACCCAATTATACCCTTTCTTCGAGTATAAGATTAGATGAAGACGTAATTTGCTACGGAATGAGCAAAAGAGTGAAGATTTTTATACATGTTTTCCATGAAATACAATTGGACTTTTAGGAGCATGGAAAATCAATGAGAAGACTGCATGCTACTTAAGTAGTCGTTTTTTGCAGAGTATAGCTTTTGCCTGCTGCCAGAAGGAAGTTCATTCGAAAGCCGGTATCCTGAGGTAAGTGAAATATTATAGAATTATGTTGCAGACTGACCAGTTTTACAAGCCTACTTAATTAATCTTTTGGAAACGAAAACGCATTTCGGAACTTCGGTTGACATTTCATGAGTTAGCCCACCTACTGTACTTTATCTTTACCACCTTACCATCGTGTTTTATGCAAGGATCAGTAGGCATTACATCTGTATTGAAGCTCAGCCTTTATATCCTCAAGAGATTATACATAATAATGGCGCGCACCTGAGACCTTCTGAGCTAGCTTTATATAGCTGTTTGCTGGATTTTTTGTTTTACCTCACACAACCTTGCATCCCGTTGATGTTATTGAGCGCGTAGAGCAAAAATCACTAGGTTAATCAGGGAAGTTTAAAGTGCTCTGGACGATTTCAAGATTAGATATCAGCCAGTAAACTGCGCTCGAAATTGTGTCGTTGGCTGACACGGAAATTCAGATAAGTGGCTACAAGGATGTTGTATCATCTGATGACAGTCGACCGTCACATCCGACGATGTCAACCGTGTGCTCTAGAGCAAGGTGAAGCAGCCACGACGGCTTGCGCATGAATTAGTTTATCGTGAGGGCAGACTTGCGAAGCATCTGCCGCGCTCTCCCCACCTCTCCACCTGGACCCGGTGTCAAGACAGGGCCAAGAAAAGTGGAGGTGGGGAGGACGCAGGTGGGTGGCGCGGTCGAACCCGCACCTTGGCGTTCCATTCCACACCCCTGGTCCACAACAAACACTTGACTAGGATCTTGACTGACAACAACATCAGAAAAGATGTGGATGACTAGGCAGACATGCACAGGACTTGTAAGCCCAGCGGGAGCTCACGCATATCCACCGCCAGAGGACCAGGTACCGGAGAACTGCCAACGCACATCAGGCTGCGAGAGCCATGGTTTGCTGTTAGCAGACACTCACAACCCTTGGAGCCGAGGCTCTACCATCTAACACCCCTAAAATCAAAGTTTACTCACCTCGCTAGTTATCCTTGACTGCTCGGAGATGGCCTTTTCAGAAAGTTCAACCACTCTCTTCTCAAACAATTCCATCATCTCTCTCTCGCTGGCTGCCTTTTCTGCTTGAAGACGACTTGTCCACTCTGCTATCTGCTTGTTTAAGCTGGTCACCGTCGCTTCTGACAGGGCCAAAGAGGCGTCCATGCTGTGCCGACGGCAACGCTCCTCCATGTCGGCCACTCGTTCCGTGTGAATCCTCTCAGTTTTCTCCATGTCCGCCAGCCAATGCTTTTCACGAACAGAGAGCTCCGTCAGGGCGTTCTCCAGTCGCACCTGAAGTTCGCGGTTTTCTTTCTGAAGTCGTGGAAGTTAGAAAGAAGGGATTATCCCATCGATCCAGATAAGACAAGAAATTTTGCTGTGAAAGGATGTCTTGAGATGGTGAGGCCAGACTGAACCACAAAAGTGTCGCAGCAGAACTGCATCGAGAAAGTCTCACTGCGCAGGCCCAGGACTCCCCTCCCGCGCAGTCTCTGAGGATTCGTTCGAGTGAGAATCCGAAATGTCAGGCCAATAAACTTCTTCTCCCAGTGACCACATCTTCTTCTTCTTCTTCTTCTGAAATGCTTTCTTTTTCCATTTTATCCTAACGTATGCGCAGCAGTCGTCAACATTGGCGCCCCCGCAGATCTTCAAGGCTGGCGTTCAGCTCACATAATGCTACTTAAAGAGTTCCAGTAGACCTTTTAACACGGACGCTGTCATTATTTCACGGGTAAATCGTCCGACGCCTCCTCACTGCGTCAGCCGGTTTTTGGTCGGATGAAACCAAATGAACACTTTCTTTGGATATGTCGGCAGTTAGTTATTTCTCCAGAATTTTAGAACTGGTTTAGATTGCTGTCGCCTTGCGGTGACACGTACCGGTCAGGTTAGATTGTAAAACGTTATACGAACGTGAGTCAGTGTTGATTTTAACAGGCAATTGGACTTCGGTCCACGCTTAAGGTTGCTCAGACTGCGTTCTGGAGCACTGTTGACTGGAGACAGAAAATAGGTCGAAAATGGTCAATGCAGTTAGTGGTACACTTCTGTCAAGTGAATTTAGTTCGTTTGTGTCTTCTAAGGAGGGGGAATGTACTCAGAGCGACACAATAATCAGGGCCAAGTCCCGCTTTAAAGAAGGGGAAAGACACCAGAAAGAGTAATATATTCGGTACAGACGCCCGATGGCTGTCAGAGTCCCCAAGAGGGAGCTGGCTGTAGGTGCGCGCACGTTCGTGCGACAGGGTGACCTGGCCTGGGTGAATAAGCGTCACGTGAGACTCAGTCTGGTCAGTTGATTGGATGATGGTGGAGTTTGCGGACGCCTGTGATTGGCTATCCTCGGAGCTGTATGTACTAACATTCTGGCGCTCGAGAGTCGTGATCACATGATCCCCAGCGCGGCGTGGGTGCCAGAGGTAGAAGACTTAAACGATTCTGAGGCGCTACACGTCTATTCATACAATGTAATGAATGGTAAATATGCCCAAAGAAAAGTATGCTTCATCACGAACTCTAAAAATCCCACACATGTATCGATAGTTAACGCATCCCGCCAAGTGACTTATGTGCGTTCTCGCTCAAACAACCAGAGGTGTTCATCATAATATCGAACAGAAGTTACCTGCAGTGTGTCAATTGCGGAACATTTTTGCTCCAGGTTCGTCTTTAGTTCAGAAATCCGTAACTCTTGGCTTCTTATACCCTCTTCCCTCCCTCGAGCTTCTGCTGCAGATATGGCTTCGGCTTTGTCGGCTTCCCAACGAGTGTTTGCCTCGGATTCGCGAAGACTCCAAGCCTGTAACTATGCAGGAAGAAGGCCGGCACTGAGAAGAATGCGAGGGAAAAGGCATAAGGCAATCAGGAGCACGGTAGCTTCGAACTTCGGAAACATGCGAAGCTCTTGAATTGACACACACTATAATCACGTGAGGGACATATAATAATTTTAGTCAATCCATCAGTGTGTTTGGAGTAAATGACATAAGTCCTTGAAAGCTCCATTTAAACAATACAGGTTTGTATGAAAGGCATTTAATTTGCGAATATTTTACTGGCAATTTTAGCACGCGAAATGCATAAGGGTCATCATGGAAAATGAGTGTTGAAAGGCGGAGAATTTGCGAAATAACGGAGAACAACCCATCCACAGCGTTTGCACGCAGTATGCACACCAGGGTAAAAGTTCATGTAACCAAAATGACTTATTGAAAACAAATTTAGTAGCATGGTTGTAATTATAACAGTGTCTCGTTAGACGGAGCTAAGGGAGCTCTGGTTAACGTTTAACAGACGAATATCCAGACGCCTCTTAAACGCACTCACGGGGGGAATGCACGATATACGTCGATAAAGAGCTCCACTTTGACATCTTCCGGGGGTCTTTGCGTTACACGTGCCGAATGTTACTTTCGGGTAGTTTCTCTGCTAGACGCCAGTCGCCGAACTAAGAACACATTCAATGAGTTTTATTCGTTTTGAAAGTTTACATAGCCAGCTAAGAAGTTGACGTACACATGTGATATCTGATTTATTGTGCACGCTCGGAGAAGATCAGGCCATGTCATCTAGGTAGCAAATCAAATCAATTTTCACAGGGAATTCAGTACGCGTTGGAGATGTGAGATTGCTCTATTGACGTCCATTTTGGCGCAAAGCTCTGTGAGGACACGACGCGGGGGGAGTTGCAACATTAGTAGACCTTCGACTACTGCAGGCGCGGAGCCTGAGCGTGGTTCTTCTGTGCGCACAAGATTGGTTTTCGCAACCTGATGGCGGCCGCCTCTGCTGTTGCTAACAGGCTCTGTTCCAGTGGTTTAGGATAGTTCGATGGAACCTTATAGATCACACGAAACTCTTCACTGGGGTCTACATGATGTCCGGAGTCGACCACATGCGCGAGAATGGTGCTGATTATTCTCCTGGTTTTCCCAGCCATGCCGGGAGGTGTTCCCAGATTCTCTTGGGTAAGCGTTGCAAAAACCAATCTTGTGCGCACAGAAGAACCACGTTCAGGCTCCACGCCTACAGTGGTCGAAGGTCGACTAACGCTACAACTCTCCCGCGCCCTTCCGCCCTCACCCCGCCCCTCACACTGACTGCTATTAACTCCCCCCCTTCCCCCACATTCCCGCACCCAGCCTGTGTTTTAAGGCAAAATTTAATCGATTTATCTTATCACTGACGTGTTTTAATTCTACCCCTTCCCATATAATTGTACTGGCCCGACGAGTATTTATCGAAAGCTACGTATGCTCGCCACCTCGTCTTCTGATTACTGATATGGGAATTTGCACAAATTCACACTTACTCTGCTCTAAGCATTCCCCGCTGGACGTTCTCATACGTGTACGAATGAATTCGTGAATGCGAGCGCCTCCAGGACAGGTCGATATTATACGACCAGAGGAGTCAATTCTAGTTCCTCGAGCATATGCGAAAGTTGACTTTCCAACACAAACGAACAGGCGAGTTTCTCATCACTTGATTTTTCCGCTGATGAGTTTCCGAGCGAATTCATAACATCAGCCAGATAAAATGCATGAGTTAGCATCAAGTCTCCTTCGCAAAACAAGTCTGTTACAACGTTGACGTGGTCCTCCTGTCTAGATGGGAAACAGCGTACTCAAATTGGATGAGTAGAAATATTTGTTTCATCTTTTACGTTGAACCTTGAACCGCGTCGGTGTTGGTTGTGTTGAAATCTCGAACAAATTGTGCGTTCAGTGGAAAGTGTAACGATAGACACCGTTCTTGTTGTAATGGACAAGTTGAAGGTCTCGATTTCAGGAGGCATATTGTCCACCAAACATGTCTCAATCCTTTGCACAGCTAAAAAGGTTCGTCTTACGTAGCTGTACTTGTCGGATTCACATTAATCTTCCAATTTCAAGACTAAACTGCGGACGGATTTGTGGCTACGCAACTACAGCCCTAACTGCCTGGCAAAAGCTGTGACTTTATGACAACTGATTTGCAGGAAGACTCGTCGAAGTAGATTATAACAGGGTACAATCGTCTAGTCGATCCCACCATTCTTCATATAAACTCATTCTATGTGTTTACCTAAAACGATCAGGCTGTTAATTGCGCTCAAAAACATAGAAAGCAAGCGACATACAAGCCCACATCTAGAGCATACCATCTCCTGCAACTTTTGAATTTCTGCATCCTTTGCCCTTAAGGACATCTCAGATTCGTTCTTCAGGACGTCGGTCGATGCGGCGTACGTCTCCTTCGCCTCCTTCACCTCAAGTTTCAACTCGGCGTATTTCCTCTCGAATTCCTGGTTCACCTCAGTTAATCTGTGCACAAGGCGTCCAACATGAAAACAGAGGGGAACTCAAGAGTTTATAATTACGAAACGGTGTTTGTACTAAGGACAATGACATTGTTTACAAAAGAGAACAGTGGTCATAAACCCAATCCACTTTAACGAATACTCGGTCGCAATTTAAAAGACTCTGAGGTAGGTGACATAGGCAGGGAGGACCAATGAAGTTCAGAGACCAAGGAAGATTCGCAAGCTTCTTTAGAGTAAAAAGTTTGACGTTAATTATGGACCTTGAGTGTTTCTGCTGCACGGTAAACAGGGTTAACTCCTCGAAAAAGAATTGATTTTGACACGGTTTTCAACCCCTTGATCGCCAGCATTTGAAAGAGTGGAAGACTTGAATGAATCCTACAAGATAAGTACATAGGTCGAAGCACGCAATTTTTGGCGTCTCGATGTTCTATTTTAAGAAGACAACAAACTCATAAACAGCCCGACTTAGTTAAAAAAACAGCATTTAGGCGAGAGTTGCCGTGCAAGCAGGAAACGCTCCCTTCGTTTTGTAAACAAAGTGATTTCAGTAGGGAGGGCATCTTGTACTAGTCAGTTTGCGCTATAAGATGTTGAGTATCCATGGGAATTTTTAAATATGATTTTTGGCGAAATGAATTTCTTAATTGAATTTGTAATACTGTGAAATTCTGGCGGTTGGCCTATCATTTTTCCAGCCAATCGCACAGATGAACTGGTCAAACACGAAGTAGGGTGTATTTGTTCCGCCCATACGTCATTTTTGGTCACTTGTTATGGATTTATACCCTCTTTAAAGTCAATCTTGAAGGAGTTGAGCATCTCATTTGAATAATTCCGACCTACTTCCATATATTCGCATTTTCACATGCATTTGTTCTTGAGTTATTTAGAATATTCCTTCATGTTCCTATAGAGTGGTCTTCAAACAGTCCCAAGTTATTGCAATTGATATACATCACGGTGGAACATTGGTAAGTAACCACCAAGACAGTCGCCTATGCCGGCAACAAAACTAGCCGAGAATTGATTGAGACCTGAGTCCCGGATGAGGACTCAGTCAACCCACATGTCGATCTGTCGCCTGCATACAGAGTTCTGCGCAGCCGCCTCTATGCCTGCGACACTGATAGGTAATTGACTAGTTATCACTTATAGCTGTTGCCTGTTTCATCACCGCCTTTATCTCTGACGATGGATTCCTGCGACAGTTCGATAGCTCAGACAAATAAACGAATGGTTCAGATGCTCGATCAGTCTTCTTTGCTCGGATACAAGGGTGCCCGACTAGTTATGGCAGCGTCCAAAACGTCCACATAATATCACACTTCCCAAAACTAAAAAATCCCCGTCCAGACGAAGAACTAGAAGATGTAAAAATACATCAAAATACGGGAAGGGAAGGTGATGCAAGTTGTCAACATTTTCAGCGCACGAGCAGCAGAAGTGGATTGGAAGGATGTCCTAACGAAAGCCGGGATGTTACTGCGTATGAAGTAAACTTGCGAACATCTGCATTTAAGAGATCTGTCAGTCTGGTAAAAAAGACGCTCCGTGTCCGAAAGATTCTCTACCCGGGGAACTAAAGGAGTCGTATAGGTATGGAAAATGATATTCAAAAAATCCAGAATTAAACGCCCATTTGTTCTATTTTGCTTTTAGGAGAGGAGGTGTATGGATTCGTCTACTAAAAGCTTCTCAAAACATCCCTTTTTGGGGAGTTTTGTCAGATAAAAGAGTGATATGCTTTTCTCAAGTATCAACTGAACTTAAGGCAGAACAGGACAGGAACCAATTTGTATAGGCCAAAGCGGTCGCAGTCAGCATAGATAATGCTGAATCACGCAATGGCGAGACAAATTTTTAAGAGAATGGCCACATCCGAGGCCAACGAGCCTTTTATGTGGGTTTTCAAGGACTCAAGGACTGTTTCAAAACCAACAGAATTTGCAATTCTATGGTGTTCGTAGAATCGTAAATCGTAGCATTTATTTCATGTCGGTCGATTTATTGGCAACCATACCACTCACATTTGTGCGACTGTGGGATATTTGCCCGGCTTTTCCCCACCAAAGTACACTAGGTGTGCTAACTCAAGAAATGTTAACCAAAATTCTGAAATGCGTTTTCGTTTCGAAAAGATTACTTAGGTAGAGTTGAAAAATTACACATCATGCAGCATAATTCTAAGATGATTCGGCTACCTCGGGGTGCCGCCTTTCGAAAGATTATCTTTCCGGTCGCATGCAAAAACCGCGCTCCGTAAAAAATGCCTGCTTAAGGAGCATGGATTTCTTCTTATTTATTTTCGATGTCCTAAAAAAATTAAATTATATTTCATTTAAAAACATGCATACAAATATTCATTCTTCTGCTCATTCGGTAGAAAATTGCCTAATCTTCAAATTTTATACTAGAAAAATGGGTATAATTCGGTTTTCAAAAACTTTTCCAATTTCCGAATAATTTTGAATCCGACCTGCCGTCAAACTTGCGTTCAGGGTTTCCAAACTACAAGCCATCCATTTTCCGCGTACGGTAAACCGTACATTTCTCTAGGGCATTAGGAGGAGACCACATGGCGTTCATAAAACTTAACAGTGGATTTGAGCATATTGTAAACTTTACAAGCCAAATTACTAAATGAAAAGACACGGGCATTTCACGGTATTTAAAAATCTCATGACTAGAAACTTTTAGAAACCAAATTGTACACTTTCTTTTAATATAAAATTGGGAGAAAACGTAATTTCCTACTGAATGAGTAGAAGAATGAATATTTTTATGCATATTTTCCATGAAGTTTAATTGAATTTTTAAGGGCATCGAAAATCAATAAGAAAAAATTCATGCTTCTTAAGTAGGCCTTTTTTACAGAGCGCGGAATTTTGTGTGCGGCCGGAAAAATGTTCGTTCGAAAGCCGGTATTTCAAGGTAACTGAATTATTATAGAATGCTGTACGATGATTAATTTTACAACCCTACTTAAGTAGTCTTTTCGAAACGAAGACGCATTTCAGAATTTAGGTTAACATTTCATGAGTTGGCACACCTACTGTAAGTGATTACACTAAATGAGTTGCGAATGAGACACGACGGTCGAAAAAGAACTTTACGAATCCGGGGTTTCCGACTCGAATCCCTTATCAGAGACAGAAGTAAATAAGAGTAGGTGTCGCACAAGTACTGCAGTATTTATAGGGTGCAGTGGCTGTGCCTTTGCATGTTTATGCAATTGGCGGCTTCTGAATGCATCGCAGAAGGTTGCCAGTGGTGGGATAATTGTCTGACTAGCGGGTGTTGCCGTACGCAGTTAGTATGCGCCTGCATACCTGTCAAAACCTTCGACACCCACATTGCTAATGGCCGGAATTTCATCACCCGTGGGGATGTTTGCTCGCCGACACTGGCCTTCCCGCGAGCTTCCCACATGACTAACTACTTTGCTCGGCAAAGTCTCAGGGCAGAATATGGAGCGGGGCGGTCATTTCGATTGTTATCCCACTAAGGGCTGGGGAACTATGACTCGAGCCGCTCGCAGCTCACGCGGTTGTCTTTTTTTGCGAGGATTGCATCCTCATCAAACTTGAAAATAAGGCCGGGTCCCTTCGAATGAGTCGCGACTTGGAGCTGGCGTCTTTCCTCCTTATTGCTGCTGCATGCTCAGCCATCCGCGTCCAGGATAATTTTTCAATCTTTCCGACGTAGCTGCTTAGCCCACAGCTGCGCCAGGCCCGAAAAATGGCTCCAGACGCCTGTTGCCGTAGCAGTGGATCTTCTGGCCTCATGATCTGACGTCTTATAGTCGCCTCCGGTCTCTCTGCAGCCCCAAATCCATGGGGCATGAGAAGGCGGCTGACGGTTTCCGAGACGTTTTACACTTTGGGATAGCTTGTCAAAATTCGGGGTTGGTGCTCTTTGGCCGCTTGTCTCGTTTGCATATGCACTGGCAGACGAAGTTGCATGGGTAGCCATTTGTTCTAAGCACCCGTGGAAAATATTCTAATTCAGTAACTTTGTCTTCCAGTTCCCCGCAGTGCGTCTCCACACGCTGATATTGCGTTTTTACACAACCGCGTTTGTATGATTGTCGTATTTGTCTCTTTTGTGCTTAGGCCACGACACTATTTGTGGCAGATCAACACGTCAAAAAGGCCAGCAGGTTGTTTTTCTCCCACAGCTTCAAAGTCGCAGCACATTCGACGAGACCCGGCCGCAAATTCGAGTTTAATGGGGCCTAAATTCTGGAGAGAGGTAATAATTGCGTGGACCGTGGACTGCTCGAGTCATGGTTTCTCGGTTCTCAGTCGATGAAAGTCCGACAAGTAGCAACTCGACTGTGGTCAATTAGGAAATTATCACACCACGTACAACCACTTGCGATGAACGTGGAATCCAATAATTTTGCAGTTGTATTACAACCATATCTCATAAATGCTGTAACATCTGTGTGACCCACTACCCCTACCTGACTTCGTCTTTGATGATGGATTTGGGTGAAAATCGGACCGTCAGAGTAATACAGTTCCCGTTCCAGTGATCATGTTTCCTTTTTCGCGACTGCTCCCTGGAACCCGCTTTTCGCTACTGTCACCTAAATGAGTTCACCATCTGGAAGCTCAACTGTTCTTCGCCATCCAGACTTATTTAAGTAGTTCAACTTACTTAATTCCCTAACTTCTCCTACTGTATAGAGCGGGTCTCACCTGTTTCGCGTTTCGGCCAGCTCATCAGTCACGGACTGGAGGGTGGATCCAGGTCTGTTAGAGATCTCACTGGCGGAGAGTGGTTCAACATCACAATCTGTGTGACTTTCGGGAGGTTCTCCTGTGAACTGGTCCTTTTTAAAAATAGCAAAAAAGAAGAATTCATCAACTTGCAATTTGCAACAGGTTTGCAGAACGAACATATTTCGACTTTTAAAATAGGGAAAAATATTCTTGCGCACTAAAAGCAACATATCTCAAGTTTGATCCACATGCAAAACCCAACTTTCTTGCCGAATAATTTGGGAGGCAAATCACAAACCAGCCCGCTGACAAATTTTCTAAGCAAACAAGGATACAATACAACGGCTCTGAGATGTTATTTTACAAGATTAACTTTAAAAGCCGTAAGTTCTCTTGATTTGGCAAAGGCGTTCTGCGTACTCTTCTGCGCGCGAACAGATTAAATTCTTTCTCCAGTATCTTCGCCAAAAGCACTTGACAAAAGCAGTTCCTTAGCCATCTGTTTTGCTAGCTCTCATCTCCCCTTCCGGTAGCTTGTTCAAGTCGTTTCCATTTATCTAGTCCCATTATCACGAACTTCAGCCCATAGGGGCTGTTGAAAGAGAGTAACTGTCAGTTTCGTGTTTGTCTGAAATATTTGTTCGCTTACTGAGAGGTAACTGCCCCCCTAGTTACGTTCTGGGCTGCCTTTAGATGTTAGAGAGGGTCGACTTGTGGCCAACAAAGGAAGAGAACTCAGTGAGTCCATTGTACTGACGGCGTCTGAGTTCATCGAAGGAAGCGAGCAGAATGTGAAATAAACTATCCCTTGTCTTACAAGTCGGGTTTTCCAGGTTTGAGTTCGCGACTTCTCCATTTGTTCTCCACGGCATTCGTCTATCGGGACAACAACTGCTATTATCGTTATTAGTAGTAGTAGTAGTAGTAGTAGTAGTATTAGTAGTAGTAGTAGTAGTAATAATAGTAGTAGTAGTAGTAGAAGTAGTGGTAGTAGTAGTAGTGGTAGTAGTAGTAGTGGTAGTAGTAGTAGTAGTACTAGTAGTAGTAGTAGTAGTAGTAGTAGTAGTAGTAGTAGTATTAGTAGTAGTAGTAGTAGTAGATAAATTGCGTCTTGCACATCATTTTTAAGTCGATCAGTGCGGATGCTGTAGACTGACCCCGAAAAATTGCGGCAATGTCCTGGTTACTGCTCAGAAATCCTCCTCCCATTGAATACTCACTGCTACCTCTCCTATCCAAAATGTGATTTTTTTGGAAGTGAGTTGATTTTTCTTATTACCTCAGTGATAGGGCATTCTAGTGAGAAAAGACAAGAGATGCTCCATGCACCTTTGAGGGTTTCACTGACGAGGTCTCTTCTGAGAACAAAACCCTTGGGGAGGTGTCGGTGCAACTTCCTGGCCTCCTGTTTGTCGCTTTTTGCGCCTGTGGTGAAACCTGTCCCATCGGACGGTCGGCGACCTCGATGCACGAGTTTGAGTTATCCGTTTCAGCAACAGAAATCTAAGGACGTTGTAAGATTAGACTACATTTGGACTTGCCTTGTCCAGACAGTTTGAGGAGACAAACACTTTGAGTATACCATAGTACGGTAAGACAGAGAAGAAGCGGTCAGACTTATGGTTTGCATGCTACACTTTGCTGGAATCCTGCGCACGAGGATTTCTAAAAGGCAACTATTTTTCACGTGTCTGTATTTTGATGACATAGTCACAATGGTGGAGGGGCGCTCACCTATCGTTCTTACGGAACTCACTCCTACCGTTGTGCCTTGGGGCTCTCTCTCGAGTCCAACCAGCAGCCGCACAGCGGCGCATGATATAGGCAAAATGGCATTGCCGACAAAGACAAGGGAGACTGGAATGGCCTCTTCTGGCTTATTAGCCCTCGCCAGCCAGTCAATGGTAGAGCGACGCTTACCGATCGTGAGAGCCCGTAAGGCGCAACGGTACGAGTGAGTTCTGTAAGAACGATCGTGAGCGCCCCTCTACCATTGTATATTCCAGATCGCAACCGACCGGACAACGAGTCCGTAGCCCAGGCGTTGGACTTCTAACTAACATGTCGCTGCATCAAGATCCAGGTATTCCGCACTTTGGGTTTTGGTACGGCTTGCTGATTACGGCTAATAAGCCAGAAATGGCCACCCCAGTCCCCCTAGTCTTTATCGGTAGTAACATTCTGACATAATCATCCCAAGGATAACAGTGTGCTGCTGCAGTCCAATAACAATCCAGGGTTTTTAATGAACAGTCAGTAACATTGGTGAGAGCTTGCAGGTTTTAAGTTTCCTCAGAAATCAGTCGCCAACTTGGAGTAAATCAGCCTCTTGAGACTTATAGACCCAGGCACAGCCGAATGACCACGCAATATTCGTAAATTACTAACAGGCAGCCAGTAGTATACATATAGGCTGCACGATATGCCATACCATAGACTGATTTACATCAAGTGAGCGACCAATTCCTGGGCAAATTAAAATCCTGCAATTTCAAAACTGGAGTATTTGCTAGAAAGCACCTGGGGAACGCTGAGGGGACCTACTGATGAGCCGAACCCTTTCGCAACTGTGCCGCGGCAGAATATGGACGAAAGGTTTCCGGGCTTTTAGCTAGTACCTGTACTGTCAACTATGGTACTTTGAGCAAGGTTAAAACATGTATATCGCACTGGGTTGCAGGATATCATACTATTAGCACAGGTACTAGCTAAAAACCCACACCTGTCTCGCCAAAATTCTGCCGCTGCATGGCACAGTTGTGAAGGGTTCGGCTCATCTGTGAGTCGTCCAACATCCCTCGTATGGTTTCTAGTAGACACTCTTGAAATTTGTTGCTTTTTAACTTCCTCAAAAATTGACTACTAACTTGGAGTAAATCAGTTCGAACCAAGGTCTGTAGGCGTGGACAGAAATTTGATACATGAATATTTGGGCCGATGTCCATCTGGCACAGCGGGATAATCGCGTAATATTTGCCAAACTTCGAACAGGTATCCTGCAACCCAGTATATACTACCAGCTGATTGTCGGCAGTTAATGAATATTACTCGGTTATCCTGCTGTGGTTGATGGACACCGGTCCAGGTATCCATACATCAAATTTCGATCCACGTTTGTAGACCTTACTTCAAACTGATCTACTCCAAGTTAGCAGTTAATTTTTGAGGAAGTTAAAAAGGAACAATGTAAATCACAGCAAGGCATATCCTAGACATGGTCGTAAAAATCGGCGTCGCTCAATTTTTTTTACATTAATGAAGAGCTGCAACTCCATAGCAACCTAGGATTTTTACTCAAAGGTCATTGAGCTTGGTAAAAACCCCATATTTCCAACCATATAACACATTCTATTGCAAGAAAAATAGCCATGTTCTGCGAATTTCTGAATTTGTCTTTCGATTTTAAAACAGTCAGCCGTACCTTTTGCTGCGAGCATTAGGAGTTTATGTAAATCAGCTGGTGTCGACAAAGACAAAGGAGACCGGGATGGCCATTTCGGGCTTATTAGCCGTCATCAGCCAGTCATACCCAACCCCAAGTGTGGATCACTTGAGGTTCGAATCCGGGATCTTTGGTCATGCAGTTTGACACTCTACCATGGAGCCACGGGCGCGTTGTCCTGTCGGCTGTGATCGAGAATATCAATTATGACAGTGGGCGCTCACCGATCAGGTAGGTCACGGAACATGCTCGTTCCGCTGTGCCGTGGAACTCATACTAGAACCCTCGCAGGCAGTCGCACAGAGACTAGTCGTAGATGTAAACCAGGTGGTACCGACAAAGACAAGGGAGACCAGAATGGCCATTTCTGGCTTATTAGCCGTCACCAGCCAGTCATAGCTAACCCCAAGTGTGGATCACTTGCCTACCTGCGACTGCCTGCGAGGGTTTTAGTATGAGTCCGAAGGCACAACGGAACCAGCATGTTCCGTAACCTGATTGGTGAACGCCCACTGTGATAAGAAGTTTAATTTTAGCGTTTTGGAGATAGATTGCGGGGAGCGACGTTCATCGACCAGGCCACGGGGGAGTCTCCTCCCGTCGCGTCCTGGGCTTGGAGCCCTCGCAGGCAGTCGCGTGGCACCTAGTAACAATGCAGGAAGGAATACCGACCAGATCAGTGAATTCTTCTTTCTACATCAATTAATATTCCCCATGTCAACCGGCAGGACAACAGTCCAGAAGGTCAGTGGTAGAGTATTGAAATACTTAACGTTCAATAACCAAAGAATCCAGGTTCGGATTTCAGGTCACTTAAACCTGGAGTTCGGCAGTGCTGGCTAACTTTAAATACTAATCCAGAAATGACCATCGTAGTCTCCATTGTTATTGTCTGTTCCCCTTTTTGAAGTATAAATGGATTAACCGACACTTGTTTGAAGTGAACCACAAAGTTCATATAAAGTGGAAATCGCCATTTACCTTTTCTGTAGATAGATTGTGAAGATTCGTTGAGGTGATCATAGCCTGCGCAAGTTTCTCTTCCAGCAGATCCAACGTCGAACGTAGGCTTTGGTACCTTTCTTCGGCGGTCTTCTGCGTTTGCAACAACTCTTTCTTGTTCCTTGAGGTGAGTTCTGCGATTTCATCGCGATGTTGCTTCTTAAGGACTTCTATCTCCGACTGCAGTTCATTCCTCGACTTCTCAACTGGCTGTCACATATTTTACAGAAACACAGAAAGCCTCCGATTAGATCGTTTTCAGCTTTTTTGTACGAAACGAGAATGCACTGTGGTGTCAATAACGGTAAAATGAACATCCTAGTTTTTTAAATCTCTTAATAGCAGTCACCTTCGAAGCCAACCAGAAGGTGGATCTCATTTACGGAAAAATATACGATGTCACCTGCCTTCAAATAGAGCTGCTTAGGGAACTCTTTTCGCGTTAGCGCGTACTGCCACCTCTATTATTGGGGAAGCCATCGAGGCGGCTCTGCTTAATCACTTGGGAATCTGCTGAATTATCGACACGACTATCTGGGCATGTTCTGGGGTCAGTATGACATGGAAAACACGCTCTACCTTTCCCTTAACATCTGCTTTCTCCTGCCACATGGTTTCGTCGAGTAAAACGATGATTTAAACAACCGAACCCATGACCAGAGGCCCGATTAGAATTCATTGTCAGGAGCGACATAGCAATCCAACTAATGTTAACATCAGCAACCAAGGATACAAAGCTTGATGTCACAAGCGGAAACTGCGAACACTGTCCAAAGTCTTCTTCGGCGTAACTTTCAGGCATCATTCAAGTGGACATTTTAGGACGTGCATTAATATATTAGAAAAAAACTAGAAACTTACAGCGACAGGTTCTATGTTCTCCTTTGAGGGCCGATGGGATGCCAGTTTGTGCCCTGACTTCCAGCGCACCGACTTACTGCTTTTGGCTTGTGACGGAGCGTCCCCCGCCTTCTTCGTGTGCCTCACCCCCTCCGCCATGAGCACAGAGTCAGCAGACTGAGACCGAAATTTTTTCGACAGCAGCTCACTCAGCTTCCGCTTTTCCCTGGCGTTCAATGCACTCAACGAGCTCCTGCCTATGGACAGGAAGCCACCGTGTCCGATGCAATTGGGAGGGTCTCCAGACAGAGAGCCCGACTTGAAGGAATAATTCATAACGGTTTCGTGTCGTGAGTCACTTGCTGAGGCGGAGGAGGAGGAGGAGGACGAGGAGGATGTGTCCAGGCCATTAGACAGTTCGTCTGAGCTGGATGTATACTCAACGATGAGCGTCTTTCTGTCATACTTTTGTTTGGCGGGAACCTTCCAGGTGGCAGAATGTGAATTAGAATGAAGGGGAGGCCTTTCTCTGGAAAAACACCTTGAAGGACTTGACTTCTTGGCTCTCCTCTTCTGAAGCCCTCTCTCGAGGAGGACAGACAGTTCGTCCAAGTCTTCCTATAAGTACATGTATGTTGCTGAGTTCGGAGTCGTCGATACTAGAAAATCTGTTCCAGTGTGGTTGTGAGTACGCAAAGTCCAGGGCAAAGCAGGCTTTGATCAGAAGAAGAAGCGATCGCTGGAACAATGGCCTTATTCGCCTGACGTTTCGGATTCTCTCTTGAATCCATCATCAGAGACAGTTGCAGAAAAGGGTGGCTAGTGTACAGGAAGTCGCAGTATTACACTAGCCACCCTTTTCTGCAACTGTATCTGATGATGGATTCAAGAGAGAATCCGAAACATCAGGCGAATAAAGCCATTGTTCCAGCGATCGCTTCTTCTTCTGACCAACTAGTTCCTGGAACTCGCATTTTCGCTTGTATCGGCAAAACAGGCTTTATAAGATGCGCAAGAGAACGTTTGTTAATTTAAAACGTCACTACTTGCACGAAATCAAACCACACGGTCGGGGTTTGGAAGAAGACCTCCTAGAGTCGAAGATGTCCATGAGTCTTATTCAACCTTTCTGCACTTTAGTTGGCGCAATCGATACAGACACAGAGTAACATCCGGGCAAAAATGACATGGCTGAGGTTGGTAGATGACGGTGTTCTTCAGAATAACAAGGAAAGTTACCTGAAGTTGATGCTGAGCGCCAAAGTTCGAGATCAGTCCGCGGTCCGCACGCAAACGCTGGGCCTGACAACGGCTAACGACATGTCAGACGGTGTGCAGCATTTACTAACACCCACACCTTATTCAGAAAATCAGCTTGCCCAATAAAGTAGACGGGGTGGCTTAATAAAAAGGCCAGCCTCAACTAGGATTCAAAATCTTACTTTACTAATGAGAGGGTTTATGACGTTCGTGCTATGGCACAAAGTTGACGCTACTGGATAATTAATTGAAGTAAAACGATCATGAAAATCCAGAAGAATAAACACTAATTTTTCCACTAAATAGGTCGGCTGAAACCATTTGTCAAATCGGATATCAAAGTATGTGACGCCTCGATGGAGTGCTCTTGTAGAGCATAAGTCTCTCACAATCCATTTTGCCATCTATGATTTAGAGTTTAAACACTGGATAGATAGTCGTAATAGGATGAATAGGCCCGAAAGTATGCATTTACGATAAAGCCCGTGTTTCGCGCCTTAGTATGCGCATCGCGGACCTAACTCCGACAGACCAGCACCGCAGAAATTAAATGTGACTTTAAGCACAAAATACGGTCCGCGGATTTGCAATAACAGTGTGTGTTGAATACTGCCCCACATAGATTTACGGACTACGACATATTCGTTTTTGTGCAAACATTCTCCCAAACATCTAAAGTGCCTTCCCAAGAAGGACAACCAATTTTGGTGCCAGACTTGCATGTTTCCTACGGCTGAAAGTGTGCCAAAGTGTTATTTTATAAATCTGCGTTTTTGTGGACCGCGTATTGAAATATTTCTTAAATATACGACATGATTTCATGCCTTATATCCAAAGAAAACCTTCTATGTTATAGTGCATTAAGTTTTCGAATCCTCAAGGGTTGCTTATGAGGTGTCCGTGTCGTAGGAACCCCAGCACGTGTAAGATAACCGATGCTTTTAAAATATGCCGAAGGCATCCTACGCATGGTTATTTCTTAGATAGTTGAAAAATATAACATTCATGTGATTATTTATACACATGCGGACACGTAAATTATTATGATGGTTGTGTTCTTTCTTTTTGGATCATCATCTGCCTTTATCAAAAATCACCTTTGCTGTTCAAAAGCCCAGTCATAACCCTCGTTTAGTGATTCATACGTTTGATCTATGAATCTGTAAAGATAAAGCATATGGAAAAATTTCATTTTCATGAACTATATTTGAACGGTCCGTAAAGCTTAATTTTGCCCTTACAACTCATTGGTAAAATTGGCAACGGTGAGTTTTGTTGATCCCCTAATGAATTCTAACGGGTGTGTTGACAGACGATAAAGCCCTACTGTACATGATGTCGCTATGAAATACAATTCACTTTTTTGGGTGAAAAAATTGCATATAGGCATGATGGGAACGAAGGGAACCCAGTTCCCGAAAAAGAACCTACTGCCTTGAGCTTGCCTAATTTTTGGCCATCATCGCAATACGATAGATGTGTTCTCTCAGATGACGCTTTATGAACGCATGTCTTCCCTAAAAATTCATGGGTTTATTATTCTTATAACATTTCGGCGTTTCTGATTAGCGAAGAACCTTATATTATTATTTCACTCTATTTATTTGGGCCACAGTACTGCCGCCAAAACAATCATAGATTCAGCATACACAGAAACTTGCCATGATGCCTTGGAATTTTAATTCCATTTAAAGAGGGCAAAATCCTGGGCTACGGTCAAGGAGGTTTGACAGGAGTAAACAAAAACCAACTTGAGGGCTGATTTGCAAACTTGTGGCCCGAAACGCCCCTGCATCGTAAACGTGCGAGACCGCAGGTGTGATATGTGCAATAAAAAGAGATCAATGTCTCGACCTGTTGCAAATTATTAACGTCCATTTATTCGGAAGGTCAGCAAGCGCTGACCCTGCGCATAAGGGATACAACCATATCTTTATTAGAGGTTGACATGGTTTTGCAAGTTTCTGTGTCTATACTGTTTGCCAAGGACGTGCTATCCCTCAATTTCCCCCACTTCAAGTTCACTGAACCACTTCTATTGACTTATAAGTTTGTCGCATGTCCTTATGTTTAATGTCTTGGTGCAAACGCTAAAATATAACAAATATTTCGCACCTCACTCACCTTTAATATGTTCCCTATCCAAATGCTTAAGTATAGTACCGTTGCTTTCGTTTACCAGCTAGTTAAAAAAGACTACAACCACCGACCCGGCGGATGACACTTCTTTGGGTTTTATAATTTTTTAGAAACTATGATTTAAAGTCGTTTCTGCATAAACACAGTAATCCCAGAAACATGCTCTGGCAAACAAATGGACAATCTTTTTGGACAACAGACTCGTTTATATATTTTTACGATTCCCTTGGATCATAAAACAACCAGACAACCAGAGTTGTTGCCAAGTAATATCCCATTCTATGCATGCTGATTTGCATCTCTTAGACTTAATTTTGGAAGCTTATTTCGGACAACATTATTTTTCCGAGATGTATTGGAGATGTTCTGGGCTAATGACTTATCTAGCAAAACAAAAGTGAAAGCATATTGCCGATATTTGCGGCTGAAAAGTACTCATTTATTCATCAAAGCATTCGTACCCCTTTTATACTTTGGGCTGGGAGTATGCAAGACATTATTGTAGACTCAGGTCCCCACACTTCATCTATTTAACTTTGAGATAATTTCATTGTGAGTTCATTCACTAGTCTGAGAAGGGACACAAAAAGATCAAAGCAGTGCATGGATTTGGAAATCCCCAAGCCAATGCACTGCTGCTGTTAAAGCGTGTGGAAAAACTGCAATCAAAGGCCATCCCCGTGCAGTGAGAACGAAACGCCAGAGTACGAAGGTTATATGCATCTGCTGTCTGAAAAGGGTGTAAGGTACAGATAAACCTCAAGACTCTTCATAAAGTCCAATACTGCGCCATGTTCTGTAAAAACCGATTACTGACTAATAAAATGCAAAACATGGCATGACAACTTGTTATAAATTACAGTGGCACAATGCTTCGCTGCTAAAATTTTGAATTATCGGCACTTGTAAATTGTTTACAACTAAATGCATGCAAAACGTACGTTGCGTGATGTTTGACCACAAGGGATGGTAAAATGTACCAAGGTAGGCGGGTTTTTAGAAACCATGCTGAATGAGGGAAATGTGCTATATGGTAGCCGTCGATAAAGTAAAGAACCTTAGGATGTGTACAATTTTAAGTGAAGAATTAATGCGTCACTTAATGACAGTGTCATGTCACGGGCCCGGCGCATGCACTCTCTGGGAATCATATTGAACCGTGCAGAAACCGCATAGTTTAACAGAGTAAGTTCGATCTTGAATATTTCTTCAATTTACCACTTCATGACTGCCTTTATCGGGTAAATATAAACCCGTTTTTGGACTAAGGATTAGCAAAAAGTGCAGGCGTATTTTTACGTAAGAATAAGCGTAAAAAATATTCGTACGCTGATAACTATATACTCATAAATATATATGTATGTATTTGAGCTAGCAAATAGATTTGAGCTTATCAGCTTATCAGCTATTAAGCGTTAGACGTAAAGAGTCCAAGGTAAAAAAGCGTCAGTCGAATTTACCTAGAAATATGTCGTATTTATGCGTTTAAAAATGTCTCTTTTGCAGTAACAAATATGCAATCATTAAACGCACTTGCAAAACCATGCGAATCAGGATTCAAATTATCAGACATACCAACGATAACGCCTTTAACAAATTGCGAGTAATTATAACAAATATATCTTAATAACCCCTCCGCCTTCTGTACTGATGTCGGTCTTTTATAAAGGCGTGCACGGGCCTAGAAATCATCTTGCACTTAAAGGGGAACTTCTTGATCATCAATTGCACTTAACCTAACCAGATAGGCTAAAACGCGTATATCGAGTATTTTCCGAATTCACCAATGGTAGTGTCAGGTCGATTCCCATGAAGGAAAAAAATTCTAATTTGAGTTTCAATCCAGATTCAAGAACTGAAAAGTATCTTGCCATCGGCATGTGTTGGAATGATGTAGGCAGCATCCAACGACACAGTCGCACCAATATGCTCGACAGATTTAAATAAATAAATAAATCTTTGTATTTAGCACGCACAAGGGTGTGTATGTATGTATTTGAAGGGTTAGAAGCAGAGCCCTTGACGACCCTGTTTAGATACAATGCTTTCGCAGATTCACACTGAAAACAAGGTTGCAAACATTGACATTGTGGTCGGATCACACTACAATCGTAATGATAAGGAAGCGCACCTGTTCATTGTAAGCCAGTGCAATACGATTGTGTATGCCAAAGTGTTTTACAGACCTGGCTTTGAGTAGTCTTGTCGTAAAAGCCGGTTTCCGTCGAAAATTAAGCCAGCAAACTTTTTCTTAAACATGCAAATTGTGGCTGTACTTTCACGGTAAGTTAAAATGAAATGCACATCAAGCTGTACTTGAATGTCTCAAAAGTTTGCGAATGAAGCTTCCAGTAAAGAGTACGTTTCACACTGCAGTAACCCTCTGTGTGATGTCATCCCGTCAGAGGACCGTATGAACAAACATGCTCTGCAGTTTGAGACAGTGGTCACGTGGGCTTTGCGCGGCATTAATTTCGAAGACCCCTTCAAACAACGGGCGCATTTGAGGCCTCTGACAATCTACTGCTCATTTGCCTGTAATCTACGATAAATAAACCAAGCTCGTTCAGTTGGTCCTCTTTCATGAGGGAGCCGAAAAATTTTGCCGTTCGCACAGTCCTTGCTTGGACTCTATCGGGCGGTTTGTAACCTTTCCTTAGCCACAGACGAGGGCCTATACAGCGCAATTTTAGTGAGATTAAATAAAAGCTACGTAACTGTTGCTGATCAGTTGATGTCCAAATTGTGTAAACGTTCTTCTTAACGCAAATGCCACTTTTTGCACATTGGTTTATTTTTGGACAATATAACGATAACTTAGACGACAAACTGACTAGAATAGTTCGAGGCAATCGTCCTCAACTAATCCAACGTAACTCAAATCATGGCGTACCCAAATGAAGTATCTGTCACGTTTCGCTTTTTATTTGGTAGTTCAGGGACCGTATATTTGCCAAGGTTAGCGTTAACAAGTCAACAACCAGAACAGGTGTTAAGCCGATTCACTCCTTTTAAAATCGTTCGCCAATCGTTCCCAGACCTGACTGCCAACATGCATGAGGAATTTGCAAACCGTCTTATCCACGCAGTCGTTCACGAAAACTAGGAAATGGTTTTAGATGTTTGATCTCCGATGAACTCATTTTCTTCGGGATTTTGTTTCGCTAGCTGCATATACAGACTGAAAGAACAGAAAGAATGTATGCAAACACAAATCCCTTAGCCGCGTAAGCTGATAACAAAGAAGACGGTGCGTCTTTGAAGCTCAGTGTGTATGAGAATCAATGTCAGGTGCAAGAAGACAGAGGTTAACAGAGACCAAAAGGACAAAAAATATTCTATAGCATCCCGGACAGAAAAAAGGCAGATCAAGAAGCAAAAGTTATGCACACTGCCGGCAAAAACCGTGCTGCCGACGGTCACGGATGAGCACAAAGTCTTAGTAAGTATGTAGACTTTCGTTGTCTGTACGGCAGCAGGCAGACCCAACTACGGAGAAGACGATAAGCATTGTTGTTCGAAATGCATTAGATATTATATTATTGAACGCCAGGTCTGTTATAAACAAGATGACCCAAATCAGTGCCATCGCTCTCGAAATGACGCCTGATGTTATATGTGTGACAAAATCTTAGATCCATTCGCTAATTCCTTACCCTGCCCTCCTCATAGATGACTTCGATTTTTATCGTCAAGACCGCAAGACTAGGCATGGGGGCGGTTGTCTTCTTTATCTTTAATCCTACCGAAAGCACTCTCCCTATTACCTGGATTTTTCCTCATTCACGGGAAACTTCTGCTTTGCATCTGCTATTCCCTCGCGGCAAAAAAGGCAATTATTGGCTGTATCTGCAATCCCAAAACTCTTCAGCCAGTGATTTTCACAAATATGTGAAATCTTTCAATTAATTTCGGATGTTGCTTCCGATGTTAAAGTAATCACTGGGTATTATTACCTTCCTGAAATATACTGGGTTTCCAATAGCTGTCCACTTAGATTTCACCCCTTCCACGATATTGTCAATTTTTCTGACTGTTCCAAACTGGTGCGCTATTCAACAATAGATAGTCACAGTTTAGATTTAGTCTTTAACAAGGACGTTGCTCCTCTTTTTGTTGCCTTCAAAAAGGACCTCTTTGATAAAGATTATTTAGTAATTTATTGTTGCTTACCGCCTGCCTTTTCAAAAAACACTGGCAGGGTCCGGACTTAGCTAAATAAAGATTGCGTAGAAAACGACTTAATAAATAACTATATTAGACCATAAGATTTGTGTGGCTTCCTCTCCTGTAGCGATGCAACCATTCTTCGTGATGTCATGTCCAATGTTTTCGATGATATCTTACAGTTTGTGTCGCGTAAATATTTCAAGCCTGATTCTTCAGATTCCCTTGTTCCTCACAACAGACTAAAAAAGTTGAGACTGCAGTTAAGTGACCCATCCACTCGTTCTTTAGCCGCTTATCTTAAAATCACAGAGATTTTTGAAATGGCTTTAAGGATGCGCCAACCGCGCGACAGGCAAGGAGAATCACTTATCCTCAGTGATCCGAACCCTGGAAAATCCGTTGCTAACATCTTTCGTCGTCGGTCCTCCTTTAAGCGTGGTCACGAACTTCTACACCTGCTAAATGATAACAAAGTGTTCCCCATCGATGACACTGCAAGGCGGAATTGTTTAGTGCTTTCTTGGCAAGACACCTCAATACTGATTCCGAACCGGTCTCTTTCTTTTGTTCACTTTCAGATAGGACACTGAGTACAATCGATATCTTCTCAGATCTCATTAAGAAACTCATGAGTCGTTTGGAAAACTCGCACTGCTCAGGAACGTACGGGATTCCGAAATCGATTATTAAACAAGCATCCGACTTTCCCATATTGCTTAGTCGTTTATTCTCGGTTTATATTTCAAAAGGATTCCTTCCTGAAACGCTACAATAAACCTATTCTATTCTATTCTAAAAAACGTCAACTATCATTCCAGTATTCAGGTCAGGATCTCGTTCAGATGTTATAAACTATCTTTACGTGCACAAAACACCGTCTCTAGTAAGGCTTCTTGAAAGGATTATTTTCAATGAACTTCTTAACTTCTGTCTACCTAATCGGCTTCTGAGCTCTAGTCAACATGAATTTTTACATGAACGATCCTGCAAAACTTGTCAGTTTGAATTTCCTAATCTAATCGCTTCTCTTCCCAATGAGCAGCAGTCAGTTGTAGTTATCTTCATTGATTTTAACAAAGCCTTTTACAAGGTGCCCCATAGACGTATTTTAGTTAAATTGGAAGCTCTCGGTCTCTGGCCGCCCCTACTCGACCTCATTAGGTCCTATCTATCCAACCGATATCAGAAAGTCACGGCCGGAAATAGCTACTCGACACATCACTCGATCCCGGGTGGTGTACTTCAATGTACTGTCCTGGGTCCGCTACTCTTCCTTCTGTACATCAATGATATTTCGACTGAACTCGGAAATTCGCAAACTTTTATTTATGCCGATGACCTCAAGTGTGTTTACTCATATTCTAAGGACACCCCAAACATCTGTGTTGATAAAATTAATTCCGATTTACAATGCTTAAACAGATGGGGCTCAACATGGCAGATGGAGTTTTCGTCATCCAAGTGTGCTGCTGCCAAAATTCCTTGTCCATAATTTTTCAGAATAACGCATTCTCAGAGTGCTTCACCATAAAGGACCTAGGCTTAAGTTATACAAATAAACTTGTCTCATCACCTCATGCAGATAGAATCTCTGCCAAAGCCGGGCAGATATATAGGTTTATACCGCGTAATTTTTTTTCTTCCGGAAATGAAACTAAGGCTTTATCAAATGTTTGTTCTTCCAGTCTTCGAATACTGCTGTTTTTTCTTTGGTTTAATGAACGCCTGTGACCGTTATAAGATCGAAAATGTTCAGAGCGTTTTCACGCGGAAACTGTTCTTTCAAGGGATGTCAGCTGCCGAACATTCAGTTTTTATAAGTAAGAAGACTCGAAGCTGGTCTTTGTTTTTATTGCATTAACCCTAGTTCCAATCTTCCGCTCATTGACACTCACTCCGACAGATCGGTCTTATGTCACGCGCAACTCCTGCATGGTGATTCCGCCGCCTCTTTGTACTACATCTAAGCGCTCCCTCTTCTTTGCTTCCAAATATGCCTTCCTTTGGAATTATCTTCCGCCAGAAATTAGGTCATGACCTAAGTTACTGGTATTTTAGTCAAAATTAGGCAAACAACTTACACCGGAAAACATAAAGACACTGTTAACGGTCTCATTCCCCAACACTCAGTTCTTGACTTCAGGAAGGTTCCTCATGGAATTTAGCGGTATATTAAGTGGAATCATTAATTTATAGATTTACAATCCCCTGATTTGAATCGGTTACTAAATCCACTGCTATCAGTCTTCCCCCAAAGCGACGATTTTCGCGGTTCTTGATATCGTCTCCCTTATTTCTACCTCTAGCGGTCTGTCGACGCTCACGGCGGAACCCTCTGTATTCGCCGTCTGCTGGTAGTTTGGTCGTGCCTCCCTTCCACGCTCCTCAGCTGGGCCCGAAGCGGACTGTGGCCGATCGTGTCTGGGTTCCTCCCGTCTGGCCTCTTTGACGCGAATAGTCTCATCCGGCCTATCAGTTCTGCCCTGACGATGTCCGTTCTGGATCCTGTAAACGATACCACATGCTGACCAGCCCTGTCTAACCCGCATACTTACCCCTCAAAGCTAATAGTTATTTCTGCGCTGAGGATGTCCGATTATAATCAAGTCTGATATTTGCTTCTGCCTGCCGATGTCCAATTATAATCCGTTATATATCGCCACATGCAGGCCAGCCCTGCCCGCAATTTTTGTGGTATTATGAGCGACGGTTTTTTCTCCTGTAAACTTAATCCAATCAATTTTAAATTTTAAAGTGGAGTTTTTCTTCACCGCTCGCTCATCGTTTTTCTTACCGGAGTACAAATTCAGAAATTATGAATTGTATTTTGTGCAGATTCTGCTTCCCTCGTCTAAAATGCATGTGTAAATTTATTTTTCCTTCCTTTGATGGGACCCCGACGGTTCTTTAATAAAAATTATTTTATTTATTTATTCGTACCATCCAGGGTTTCGCAACGATCCTAGGACATTACTACAGACGCTCCGAAATCGTGCTAGCAAAGAGCTAGACCACGGGAGCTATGTCCATCTGGGCCTTGAGTGTGGTCTGCTCGACGAGAACCGCCGTTGTAGCCAGCTAGAATTCCTGAATTGCGTCTTTAGTTGCACATTGATGGAATTAAATTATTTAGAGGTTCTGGTCATTCTATTTAACCAATCCTCGCTCGTGTTAACCATCCAGTGGTTCGGCAACGGTTCGTCTTTGGGGTGTTTTCCGGTTGCGAAAAACTTGAACCGGTGGATGACCTTCTCAGAGACTGCATTAGTGAGCTGGGGGACATTCTAGCCGGTGGCCTGCGGGTGTTACAAATACAAGACGTTTTGAGGATCCGCCTACTGATGTTATCTGCGATTCACGTGCACACTCGTACTTACGCTACGTAAAAGCGTATAATGCTTACTAAGGATGCGACAGGTGTGTTTTTCAAAGAGACAACTGCAATCACAAAGGGCGCCGCCATGCTGGAACCCCAAGGAAAAACCGCATGACCTTCCAAACCTACAGTGGCCGTCTGCGAGACAACAGATTGTTTAGATTGCGAAGTCAGTTCTTTTCACAACAGAGGGAAATCAGAATTTGAGGATTCGCCCTTTAATATGCCCCTAGTAAGCCCGGGAGTCATGCACAAGTTGTTACATTTGTGGCGTCTCAGAGCTAAGAAGCCCGCCCCACTGAGTGCTACGATAAGAAAATGCAGTCGGTGTCCGCCTGTGGAATTTTCCCACATATGCAGATAGCGTGATTGTTTGGAATGTTGGAAGGCTTCCGAATATCGGCAATTTTCGATTTGCATCGGATCCGTATTTTTGTCCTCTGTCCTTGACAAGGATCGTTGTCAGCATTTTTTGCAGTTGTTAGTTTTGATTTTTTGCCATCCCACGTTGCAAATTGCATGTGACAGTTTTGTTCAACGCCTATTGAATGTTTTCGTTTCCGATTTTGTTGATCTCCACAACCCGACTGACTTAGTTTACAGTGTTTAATGTCTTGTGCATTTGCAAAAGGATGTCAAACGTTTCGGTTTTCTAGATAATTTTTCTGCATTTCTTATGGAGCCCTTTTTACGAACGGTCCGTAAAAACATAGGGGTGCCAACAAATGTTGCCGCACAGGTGTGTAAGAAGTTTTCTGAGAGACTCCTGCCTGAGTTGCCAACAGGCCTATTGCTGTTGGACGACGATGAGGGAGTCGCACGTCCATTTTAGTTACCCCGCTCGTCCTCCGTCAATTTTCACAAAGGATATGTTATGCCCACATAGTCACCCGACAATAGGGTGCTTGTAGGACGTAGGCCGTGTGCAGTAACATCCGTGTCGGTGAGCGAAATCACCTATCACCCCTTTTTTCACTCTAAGGATCTCTTAACCAGTTCCCGTTCCTCCTCACATTTAGACCTTTTAAAGGCTACCGTTTTATTAGGTACTTTCTCCATCCCTACCCTATATGAAATTGTTAGTCAACATGTTTCTTTTAACGTTGACTGCGAGTTTCACTTTTTTCCACTTTTGCATGCCTACAATGTACAGTAACGTTACGGTAAATCTGTTGCTCTTGAACTGTGCGACTGGGCAAGACGCATGCGGTTGTTGAGTTCAAAGACGAAAACACAGCGGCTATCGTGGCCACAGCGTGGTTTTTTCATCGAAGGTCGCGTATGTTGCCCTAAAAACCACAATCACCGAGAGTATTTATTGACTAGGAATCTCGATCTGTCTTACAAGACGAACATCTATTCAGTCAGTGCTGAAAGATAATCTGACTTTGGAGAGGGCCAGACGACTCTTGAGGAGGACGAAGGATGCGGGCGACCTGTGCACCTCCGAGCCTGTCGATTTGGACAAAGGCAGGCGGAAAAGGTATGTGTCCCATACTTTTACCATGTTTCCCTAGATATGTCCGGCTTGGAGCATGACGAGGAAGAATTGTGCCATCGAAAGCGGTCTGAGGGAATAGTGAATCGTTGTACAAAGCCACCACCAATCCTCCAATAAGCCTAAGTATCTCGCATGGCTTGCAGGGCAAGACAAGACGAGAATCTGCAAAGCACCTCGCTGGCGTGGAGTGGGCCAACCCAGACTGCACTGGTTGCCGCCTACCAGTACGCGTATTTTATTAATTTACTGTTTACGGCGCTAATTAAAATATCTACCAATTCTGCCCCACAACATTACTGTTCGCAGATTCACAAAGAAATTTATTGCCTTCGGTGAGGATATTCTCAGTGACATTAACAACCACATAAGGGGGACGTATATTATGTAGCGTAGTGGGATGATACTAACTTCAATGAAATACAAGAGCTAAAAGAAGCATTAGCTGAGACTCTGTGAGCAGTGCAGGTGAACGCCGTCCCTGTCATACTTCGCTTTCTAGGATCCCTCATCACAAATGTTAATTTTTTGACTTTTCAGTTCAAGCATCATTCCCCTCAAGGAATGCGCCATATCGACGCTCTTGGCGGAACCCTCTGTATTCGCCATATAATAGTAGTCTGGTCCCATCTCCCTGGCCCCTCCTCGGCTGGACTCGGCTGACTGTAACCGATCGCATCTGGGTTCCTATCGCCTCAAGACTGGTTTTCTATTCGCCACTTTGACACGAATGGTCTCATCCGGCGTATCAATTCTGCCTTGGTGATGCCCGTCTCGAACCTTTTACTCAATTCCGCATACAGGCCAGTCCAGCCTGCGTTTTACACATTCAGGAGCGAGAGTGTTTTGTCCTATAGTGTTAATCCAGTCATACTTATTTTTTATATGTTAGGAGTTTTTTGCACTGCTCGCTCATCATTATTCGCAATATACTAATTATTCAATAACTATGAATTAGGTATTGTATAGATTCTGTATACCTGTTCTAAAATTCTAAAATTTCTGCAAAAGTTATTCTTACTTGCTATGAACGGACCCCAACGGTTCTTGAATAAATATTATTATTATTATAACTATCATACAGACGGCAAAGATTCCGAATCTGCCACTGCGCACTGAGGAGGACTACAATGAATTCGTTTCTCGGTTAAGTTCTGCGACGGACGTCGCAAAGGAGGTGATAAGTTCACGAATATGTCTGCCTACCTATTACGACTTTTTAGTTTAACAGCTGCCCGTTTTCGAAGGACGAAATTAGCGCCAGTTCGTAAGACATATGCTGACTACTCTGCTCGGTCCCCCACCCCCTGTCTCAGCTTTTACTTGGGAGGATGGACAGATAGTTGGCCGCCCGCCAGTTCTCTCCGCTATACTATACGATACGGTAGGTAAACTTTTCTTGACATCCACACGCGCTATAAGACTGAGTCTGTAGTGATCAAATGGTGTGAGTGTGTCTTCGTCTGTGCGCTACTATCGTCGGGTCAGATCCCAAATTGAAGGGAGACAAAAGGTACCAGAATGAGGGGTTTATTGTGCACAGAACCCGCAGTTGTCTTCTCAGACGACATTGGCCACTGGCGAAGCCAGGCCCGGTGTTGACTGCGTCCAGTCACGCCTGAGGGCCCTTGAGATAATGGTGGCAGCCGCTTTTGTAGGCTCATGAGCCAAGATCGAGTGGTCTCCAATCGGTGTGTGTTTCATTTGCCGATAGGTGGAGTCCCAGTGGCTTATGTTGTGGTCGCAGGGGGAAGGGTGCGTTCAAGTGGCCGCATCGGTTGCTGCGGCTGTGCGGACGCAGGTGTGTTCACGCTGAAGTCGGTCGAGTGGCTTCAAGTCAGCGCGTCTGGGCGGCTCTCTGCAAGGGGCGAGTGACCTTGAGGCAGCGAGCTCGTGAACAATGACGCCGGACCGGTCGTGATGGCTGGCCGTCACAAGTCCACCATTCGTCAAGTACCCAAATTTCGAACTAAGAAATACAATATTACCTAGGTCCACGGAAACCAGAGACAGGTACGGCGGGAGAAAAAACGCCGGGAAGTCCAGGAGAAGGTAATAAGTACAATTTGATTTAATCAAAAAATTCACAAGCCTCGAGGGACAAACAGGAAAAGGGAAGGACCAGATTGTCACCAGCAAAAGACAACCCAAAGTACTTTGAAATTACTAGTACTAAGACATATTCACAAAAAAATTGCATAAAATATTATAATACGCGACCGCAAAAGTTGCATAAAAACCAAATGTGATAAATTTCCAAAATCGCTTCCTTGTACTTAAGAAATTTACCAAATAAACTACTTAATATTGTTGTTAATTTTATGATTTTCTGATCCTTAAGTAATACGAAGAATTCTATTTTAACTTATAAACCATTTTCTCCTTTGTTTACAGCAACCTGTCTTGGCAACTGAAAGGGAATAGCAACTGAGGACTGGAGGACTGTATCTTGTACAAATTTGTTATATTCCTATACTGTTACTTAATTCTCTTATGGACATCTTTTTTCGCCAATTCCAATTAACCGACTTACATTATGATATTTGCGGCCGCGTCGACAAGCACTTGGGTGAGTTGAAAAAATCCTACGTTGGACTTGAATGGAGGTTTATTGGCTTAAATCAGTACTGATACGATGGCTCGTGCATTTCCGCCGACGGTTTCAATATCGAGAAACGAGAAGCGGGAAAGCGTTTTTTTGGGGGGAGGGGGTTGGCCAACTGGGCCATATCCGCCCTCGCCACACCGTGGCCCAACACAGACCATCTGGACTGGATTGAGCTTGGTTGGGCTGTTAATGACAGGGGGGGTGGAGCGAGCTGGAATGTCTAAGAAACAGGTATACAGCAAAAAAACTGCTGGAAACCCAAGTGTGTACTAAATGTGGAAAACTGCTAAGTAACTTCTGAGTACGTTATAGAGATTCCATTCAGATCGTGAAACGAGCAGCCATATGTTGACTGCTGTTTGCAGACAGACTACTCAGGTTTTCAAGGCAACGCAACTGCGGTACACGGGCAAATCTAGGACGCTGGGAGTCCTATGCTTCGTTTCGTTTTAGGGAAAATTGCAAAGTGTTAAGCAACATAATTGTCTTGTGACCACAGTTTCCTGACAGCACTAGCCCAACCCAGCCCATTCCGACCCAGTGGGGCTGGTCTGGGTTAGGGTGCAACATCTCAACAGAACTGACGGACAGAAACCGCTTTGTTTTAATCGAGATCACTCTTTTGTAGATCGATCGTGAGACCTGACCAAGCGTGGGCCATCATTGACGGTCGCCAATCTGATAAGTCTCGTTGTACATTAGTACTTATGTAGTTTTAAAGTTTCGTTACTTCTCCCAGTTTTCCACCCCCGCGTTTTGCGAATATACTTGTCCCCTCGAGTTTCCAACATTTTTGTTCGTGACTATTTTTCTATCGTTCGTTTTGCCAACCTGCTTATAACATCAGCGCCCAGTTATACGTTGCCTGTCGCATTCTCATAAACTGCTTTCATTTTCCATCCGTCGTCTAATCCTTGCCATGTACTAGTGTGTCTGCATGCGAATGCCTGTGTAATGGATACTTTAGTTGCGAACGCTCAAGAACCGGAGTCTTTGACAGAGAGACAGAGGTTATACTCAGATTCGAGTGATCCTCAGTCTGTTCTCCCACCCCGAGTACGAAGAATGTTACAATGGTTAAGCTAGGTTGGGCCATGGTATGGCGAGGGTCTTGGTGAGAGTTTTGCGTTCTCTATTTAGCCTGCTTCCCCCATATGTTTGCCACCAGCCTTTCCAGACTATTGTCAAACACTCCATGTGTCAGTCAATATTTAATGTTCTTCACGATCCGGGCTGGGAGTGTCCTGCTCTTCTGGAGTTTTCCTTAATGATCCATCTTAGTTATTCAAAATTTAGTGAATCTGGTCACTCTAAGCGAAATAGGTTTTACTGAATCATTAATTGCGGTAGTTCGGCATGAACCTTTGGTTTAGCGGCTGCGTCGCGCCCACCCTGTGCTGATGGCTGACAGGGGTAAGTTTGAACAACTGGAAGAATATATTGAGAGCACAATCGACCATTGTCGGGAGGCCGGAATAATAGTTTGTGATTATCAGCCTGGCGTGGCGTTTCACAAAAAGATCAATGATCTGGTTTATAAATTGCAGGTAACTCCTGTTAATCGGCTTTTGACCGTTTCCGAATGTCTACGAATTCAGTATTTTTTAAAAGTATTGTGTGTCCTGCACACATTGGCCGTTAGGCTTTTTTTCAACACACTTCTTCATTTCTGGCAGTTCTTGGCTGACTATTATCATTTAAGCATGACCATTGGCTTACAATAGTATACCAACTATTTTCTCGTTTCGAATGTAGTCGGAGGCAACTAAAGCTAGCTAAAGCCATATATGGCTTTAGTTGCCCCTGACTGCATTTTACTCGCATGACTAGTTGGTGTGCTATCCGCTCGATACATGTATATCAAAACCCCTATATACCCTAAATCCAGGCGATATGCTCTTGCGCAAGAGTAAATCGCCCTGATTTGGGAGATTTTTGATATGCGTGTATCGAGTGCATCACATTTCTGTCCGGTGGATATATATCGAGTAGATATCGAATTCTCGATATATTCGAAAAACGGCGGTAGCTGCATGCTTATCAATTTAGACGACCCCTTTTCCCACGGAAATAGTACCGTTTTATACTTATCGACATGTATTGTTTCTGTCACCCCTTCCCGTCCTCGCTCACCATCTGCGGCAGTCTCATTTTGGACGATAAACGTACGAAATAGCGCAAAGTACCCACTACACTTTGATGCCGTATGAATTGGTAGATGTATATTTAAAAAATAGAAAACTAGATATGTAAGTTAATATGTATAGTGTCATACGTCCATATCGGTGCTATCCGTTGTGGAATTGGACGTGTCGCCTGTGGAATGTCCCGGTATGGGATCTACGTTTAAGAGTAGTGGATGATTGGTCATTGAGGAACACATACCGCTCACTCTAGTCGTGTTTTTAGTTTTTTGCGCTTTCTTCGATAGTGTCCAGTGACCGTTTAAGTCGTTTTGTAATGAAAGACTCCAGACCGGCAGTGGTCACCTTTCCGTCTCCATTTCAAATCTTAAGAAGCTGTCAGCATTAATGCACTTGTACTCCTGCATTTATGCTTGCACTACTTGGCTGCCCACACGTGTTATTTTGCCAGCCTAGACACCCGCAACGTCGTATTCTGGTATGTTCCAAGTTCTGTGCGCGAAGACCGAACTCTTTGTGATCGCCAGGTTGGCACGTCCGCTCTTTATTACGAGATAATGTGGACCCTAGACCCAACTTCTTCGTTTACCTACTATTCACTTGCTTTGGAATAAGCAACTTGTTTAGGAGCTCGTTTTGATAAAGACTGTCGTTATATATGAACTAGTTTGCTGACTTTTGACTGCTCCTATTTGGAGTCGCCTGCGGTCGGCGGTTATTATTCGCTTTACGGTCTTCTCGCACTAGTCAAAGCAACATTTCCAGGAGTCCTCCGTTTGGAAATGCTCTTTCTCATGGAGCCGCCGTAAAATAGGCTGAATTTGACCATTGTCCCGTGTCTGGTGCTCTCCCGCCCGACTGAGTACCACGAATGTATCATAGGATTTTCGGGACGCACAGGACGCGCCAAATACAAGGAATAGGTGGTGCTCATTATTTTCCCAACATTTTCCGATCACCTACTATAAGAATTCGGACACTTCTTGCAGTATAGCAACCTTTGGCGGTGTTTTATTTTTTGAAACGTTCGCATTTGGTCTCAGCTTACAAGATTCAGTGTTTTGTGCATAATAGAGCCAGAATTTAAAACAAAAAGCTTTTCTCCTCCGGACACACTGTCCTGTCCACAAAGTATGATATCTAGGCAGAATGTTATTACTGAAAAAGACAAGGGAGACTGGGATGGCCATTTCTGGCTTATTAGCCGTCGTCAGCCAGTCATACCCAACGAGTGAGTTCCGTAAGAACGGTCGGTGAGTGACCCTCTACCATTGTATATTCTTGATCGAAACCGACAGGACAACGGGCCCGTGGTCCGCTGGTTGGAGGCGTGGACTTCTAACTAACAGGTCGCGAGTTCCAGCCCCAGGTGTTCCACACTTCGGGGTTGGGTATGACTGGCTGACGGCGGCTAATAAGCCAGAAATGACCGTTTCAGTCTCCCTTGTGTTTGTCGGTAATAACATTCTGCCTGCATATCATGCGCCGCCGTGCGGCTGCTGGTTGGGCTCGAGAGAGAGCCCATGAAGGCACAACGGAACGAGTGAGTCCCGTAAGAACGATCGGTGAGCGCCCCTATACAATAGTATGATATCTGTTGCACAGCTCAAGACTATTCATGCGAACGACCTTGTTGGACGCGGGCCATGACGGCGATGCGTTCACTCTAATCTGCAGAGACGTGCTTGGGAAAAAAATACGCCGCCGACCTAGCCCTATCTGAACCATATTTTGAATTTGCTCATGCAATTCTTATCGAACACGCATATGCGCACTTCTAAAAAGATTTCCGGCTACGTTCGTCATCATGAAAACTGAAATCCGGAAATTTTCAAAGCCCTCGTTTTATATTTGCCATGCATCTGCCAGTTATGTACCGATTGATGATGCTTCAGACTTTCCTGTCCCTCGTTCTTCACGGTAGTCAAACGTCCATTTTACGCTCCAAAAGATGATCACCGAGTATTCCGAAGGCGTCGCAAGGACATTAGTTCTACCCAAACGTAGTCGGAAATACCTGTGTAAATCGCCCCGTCGGTACTGATGTAAATATGTCGTCGGAGAGTTCCCACAGAGTAGGCAGGTGCAGGTTGCATTGACCGTTTTTATCGTGCGATTACCTTCTGAACATCTGTTCTTCATGTGGCCTGTACCCGTTACCATTGGACTCCCAACTTGATCTGTCGATTATCTGAGACACCCGGTTCGTTTTTCATCTTGGCCATAGAGTATCTGAAACTCGGAGCATTCTACGCCATATCAGAAGCTTTGCTCTCTAGCCAGTCCTCAATAGTGTGTAACAGTAGCGTGATTGTCGTCAGGAATGCCCAGCCGCCCGTCTTTTGATTTCCTAGGCTATAACGCATCTAAAAATGCATTCTGGACGCTGTTTTAACGCTATTTATGGGCAGTGAGCAGAACAATATGGTACTTCTGCATTGTGTCGCCTTGTCATTGTAAGTTTGGACTTGTGCGCGCGATTCTAGAGCGCTCATTTCCAAACTGACACCTGATGGTGTTGCAAACAATCCTCTCCCTGCGAGCACTATTGAGTGAAGGGACGAACCACTACTATCACCTTATAACCGATCCTGGAGCTGGCCACCACCAAGATACCTCGAGAACTGCATTGGACGCCAACGGTCGGACGGGCCCGGAAGGGCCAGTCAGTAGTAAATTAATCACTGAGCTCCCTTACCGTTTCGCCGATGGCATTTCTTCCTCCTATCGATCGACTGATAAGTTGGAACGTCCTTCATTTTACCAACTTGCCGACTATCACATGCAACAGATTACTTCTTGCCAGGGTGCTTGCGATCCTCTTTGACAAAATCAGATTTTCCGACCTTAAGGCTTCGAGATTAACTTCTCCCTCTGAAACAGTGTGGAAGTAACAGTGGGGTAGTGACAGAGTTGTAATGTTGTTGATCGAATTCTGAGTGTTCCGTCTGCTCAGGCTTTATGGTACATACAAATTTCGTCGATTTTCCAGACAGAGGAGAATCAGGGCGATTCTTCCCGTAGACCAGGGAGAACCTTGTACGTGGCACGGCTGTAATCCCGGCTGGTCCAGCCGGCGGCGATGTCGAGGATTTTACTGGTGATAGCAGATCTGAAGAATTCGACTCACTCTCCCCTAGAAACGGGAATCGAGTACTGAGGAGCCAAAACCAACCTTGAGTCGACTTTTTTATGCGGTGGCATCTGATCGAAGGTAATACTGAATCCATGGAGTGGGTGACGAACTTTCCGAAACCATGTAAACGATCTTTTAGATGACTTAAGATACCTTCAAGACGTAGTAGAGTCGGGATACTCCATCCTAAGGATGGTTCTGAGGCAAAATTGGTGAAACCTCCAGTTTTCGCTCGTTTTTCGCGTGCATAGTTCAACAACTGTTCTGGACCGACCAGACAAATGCCACTACATGCATGAATGAGGTGTCCCGGAAGCTATTTCACCGGAATCGTGCCTCTGTCCGACCTGCCGTTTACAGCGGATTTTGTGTACTCAGAACACCTAGTTGTTAAGTCTGACAGTGGACATTTACGACAGCAATCGAAAGCTAATCGGCTTATTACCTTAAAACGCATTTCCTTCCTTAACAGCCGATTGCCATTTTGTCCTTAAACATCAGGTGTAAGACCCAGCCCCCTCTCTAAATCTTTTTTCCTTATTGGGTCGTAGAATAATTCCCTTTTACGAACTCAAGGCCTTTTTTCCTGTTCAGGATGTCGACCGCATGCAACAGGATATGCAGGATGTCCACGTTCCGATTGAGGTGTTCTCAAAGATAGATGCTGGCGAGAACCCGCAAATCTATACACGCGAGTGCATGGAGCGTGCTATTGCACGGAATGAGGCAGTCCGGGGTAAACTGGAAAGCCTTCGTCGCTTTCGTGCTCTGCTTATGGCCGAACTGTCGAAGAAGTTCCCTAACGAGATGGCCAAGTATCGCTCTGTGCGGGGGGACCCTGAAGCACCGACTTTTCCCTCAAGCGCCAACAATTCAGTTGAAAATATGCAGAACACTGGCTCCGGTTCCGATACAGGCCATGATTCCATCCCACCACGGTGACCTGATTGACCAAGACACTTCTGACACCCCTATATATATATTTCTGTACAAATTTATTACTGCTCATTTCTTCGCATTCTGAACGCAATTTCCCGGACATGTTTTCTCACTTCTCGGTCCCAGAAAACGCCTTGGTCCGTGGGCACCTCGGGTACCCCTGTGGGACCTTATCATCTGAAGAGGTTCGAGCAACTAGGAGGTGAAGCATCCGACACGGCAATGTGCATTAAGACGCAAGGCAGACTTATCCGTATTGGTTAGTTTCCAGACAGTAACTCGGCCCTCCATTAGAATAATGTCTACAGTTCAGTTTTGCACGCATGTGCGCACAGAGCTGTAGTCAGAATGCGGGGAGCGCCCACAAGACAGGAGGCGTCCCTCTGGCCCACACAGGCGTTAAGACATTGTACCTAGGCGTGTCATACTCCAGTAACGCCGCGTGCGCTTCGCGCGCTGCACTAATGACCCTCGTTTCGCCCCAGCCTACTTATGCATCCGCATCGGAGTTGCCTGCCGGAAATAAATTTCGCAATCGGTGTTGCAGGGACTTTTGGCCGGTCAGTCTAAGGAGTGCTAGTGCATTCTTGTCCTGGTACTAGCACTTTTTAGGGCTATTCTTACGTTAGATCTACCCATCATCGGATTTCACGATACTCTGGAAGTCTGTGGCACAGGTATGCCTTCCGAAGTCGCCCTGGTTGTTCGTTAGAGTTCCTCTAATGCTTTGGCTCGTTCGAGCCTAACCGCGAGGTAGTAGACGGTTTACGGTCACGGTGCCGTCACCGGGCCTTGAAGTGGGAAGATAACAATAATCTTGAGCATTAGCGCGTTCTTTCAGAGTTCGGTTGTTGCTTGCCAGATTCTAACAGAGGTACTCTTGCGGTTTCTGGATTTCTAGTAGAACCCGTCGAGGAGGTCCAACACCACGGTCCCCATGAGATTCCCCACCAACCCTCCACTGATTTCCGACTAAACAAGACTAAGAGTCGCCGCACCCCGGCTGACATAGGGGTTGCAACACGCCTACATTCGGTACGTACAATAGCACAGCGAATAAGGGAGTGCTCGTCTTTTTGTACTCGGGGGATTCCTTGCCGATCCGGTCACAAAATGAAGGAAAGGCGGGGAAATTGCATCGGACTTTATTCAAACTAAGCCAGTGGACAATATGCTAAGGTTGGCCAAAAGACCAGAAAACTTGTTAAGATTATTGGATTTTCAACTTCAGCTAAAATCCCAGTGGACTTTTGGGGCTTTATGCTGAAGCATTGTTTGGGCTTCTATTTTCGGAACTTCTCCTGTGTAAAACGGATCCATGTTTGTGTGAGGGAAGTAAGCCATCACAACTTCTGGCAGCAGTTCATCAAACGGAGGAAGCTTGTTTAATGCTGCTTTCTAAATGTTGTGGTGAAGGATTATTAAGTGCAACGAACCATTGCCTGGGCATCGGACTTCATTTTTTCACACGCAGCAATGTGCTTCTTTGCAGCGTCGGTCTAACAGTTTTTAAGCAATTAATTCTCGGTTACTTACCATCTTTTTGGCCTGTGCATCCACAGCTTTACCGACCTGCTTTGCATCAGTCGGAACAGGAACGGTAAGGGACATGTACTCTTTCTTAAATTTCTCCGTCAAACCAGGAACAGGGACAATGCGCTGGTAATGCTCCCAGTTGATTTCAGGCAATTTTTCTGGGAGTGCAGAAATCCTAGGTTTACAGGAATAAAATAGGTTTGTGAACCTAGATGCGCGAATGCAATAGACTAACACGCAAAACAAGGCAATGAAACCTGGGGATCGGAACGGTTATCTTTTTAGCTTTGCACCCACTTATGCAGAGGAAAGAAAGCATTAAAAATTGCTCTCGGCCCGCTACACATGCACTTATAAACGCCGGAAAGTGAGTCGTACATTCATTTTCGAATTAGACGACAACCGAGCACCGGGGTAAGGTTGTCCTTGTTCGCGGGATAAGACGGGTTAGGAAGAACCCGAAGCTCTCACTCGATAGCGACCACCAGTACACTAAGGCAAGTGTAGCCATGGAAGCGTAGGTTCGACAAATAATGCTAAACAACACCACTTGACTAACCTACAGAAAAACCACTGGGCGTACAAGCGTTATACGATTAACTGGCCATTTCACTCATATCAGTCGAAAGCCGGCCCTTGGCAAGTGTTTTGTCCGTCAACTCGTGCAGCATCAAAGAGGACCTTGGCAAGCGGAAGGCGATCTCCCCTACACTAGGGTACCACGGCGATTGGGAGAAGCTTTACCCGTTCCGAAAAGTGGGCAAAATTTTCATTTTGCCAGGAGTATCTTGTCTGGCGGTGAATATCATTACGCATTGGCTGTCTTTAGCCGGTGAGGCAAACCCACTATACTATATGGTCATCTTTCAAATTCGGCATCATCAATGGCAGATTTTAGATATCCGGTAGTTCTGCCCCAAAATCGGTTGCGCTTATGGAGGGCGCGTGGCCTCCTGGTACAAATTCTTGAAGTCGGAGTCGTAAGGAACACAACCAGCCCCTAATTCATCATCCATTTGGTCGTTGCACTAGAGACCCAGTTATAGCACTAAGGCCCGACATGGCCTACAGCCGCCTATGAGGTACTGTGTAGACCTCAATTCAAGTCAGTTGTTTTCGACTAAGACGCTCAAGAAGTGGCTATTGCCTGTATCAATGTGGCGAATTGGTTTGAGGCAGTCAGACGGGAGCCCGCGGCGGAGGCGAAATCCTTGGGATGGTCAACACTGCACTTCTTCAGAGGTCATGTCCCTTCGACAATAACTTGGCCGTGGGCGATGTCCCACAAGATGGTCCGAAGATGACATGAACTCGGGGAGAACGGAGGTTGTCTGGCAGTCTAGCCACAGGTTACCCGGCGCGTCCATAGGTGGCGGATAGAGGATGGGCCTTCAAAGGAAGTTAGCCGTGAATAAGCTGCCGCAGACGACCTGTGGTAATACCTACTGGTGTAATTAGGCGTCAATCGAGCAAGTCGGCTACCCATAAAAGGCCATACACCACGGTATAATTACGTTGCATGTGTTGCCCAACCCCCAATAGGGCTCCAACTGCAACTGAAACAAAAAACAGTAGGTTTTTTGGACGACCGGAGGCATGTACTAAGTCGCTACACACCTTGACATAACACCCAACCTCATGAACGCGAAGTCGTCTTAATTATATCGTTGTTTCTGCGTTGCAATAGTTTAAATTGACGAGCCATCTCATATAACTTTGGGATACTACGCTAAAAATGGCAAAACTGACATTACTGTTTGAATAAAAACTGCCATCTAGATTGTAGTTACATTTCTGAGGTGCAGTAGGACTGCGCAAGACCATGACTGCACCGTAAATGCGAGGCAAGAGTGCTACCATGTGACCACCTCTTTTCTATGGTCGGGGACACCTACCTATTCTGGTCGACGAAAAGTCGAAAGTGTTCAATCATAACTGTCTCAGAACTATCCTACTTTTGAGGTAAATCACCTCATTACAGACGACGCCCGCGCTGCTGCGGCTATCGGAAAAGGCAGAAAGTTATCCGGTCACTAAAAACTAGGCATTTAGGACACATCCTAGGACACTAGACTAAAAACCGCGCAATCACTTATCTGAAGCCGACGTCAATGCAAAGGACAAGAGGGCAACCGTTAGGAAACATTGCTTAGAAATATTCAGAACATGGTTAAACGCGGTGGACACTATAGCCCAAGAATTCGGTCTCAATCGGTGAGCAGAGGGAGGCCTGGGTAGAAACAGTCGTACGGTCGACACAATTACCAATAATTGCAGTAACTGCAAGCGCGATAAACGGTGCCTAAAACATGCGGGCTACCGCCTTCCAGACAGATGATGAATGTGACGGATAGTGGATAGGAATTACGGGCGATAAGTGGAAAATCAAAAAGCCAGTATGGAGAAGGGACATTGCAACACAACGTCAGTCAGTCACAGTCGGAATTACGGACGCACCGGCCGCATCAGATAAGTTTTCTAATACCGAGAATGGAAACCTCAAGTGAGTTTATTCGAGAACGGTTGTGACCGTTTGTGGAAGTTTTACAAATGCCAGCCTAAAGTAATCACAAACAGCATTCTCTCCAAAAATACCCTCATCCTACGAAGTGTGACTTTCGTTTATGTACCTTTTAACTCCTACTTCTTGGAAAACTAGCTGGTAACTGTGTACGGCTCTGGCGACTCCAGCAGCCACTGGATCCCCATAAGACTAAACGCAGTGAGGCTGTCCACCCATACATAGAACGGTGATAATTTTGCAACGTAAATATCACCCCCTCATTCGTATGTAAAACAAATGCAGATATGCTCATGGTCAATATGGATAAGTAACGCGTTATCAGTGACGTATATGGGGAGGATGAAAACTTAAGTTGATAGTTGCATACTTGGAGACTAAAGTGTCTGTACGGGTTTTCAATTCACGAAATTGTTCCATCTGATGCGGAGGACATTTCTGATACAATTCCGCCCAATTAACGGCGGAACGCGCAACGCGCCTGGAAGCCATATTCTGTAATCGAAAGGTGTGCGAGATCAACTGGCACAGAAGAACTCCAGATTCATAAAATCCTAAATGCTAAAATTATTCCAGTTTCTAAATCCTGCTTTCTGTATTCACTATTAATTTTACGAATTTTTTAGCCGAACTCAAACATTTTATGGTCGATCAAAGCATGGTGAGAATGTGGGGACTTCAAGTGAAATCGAATTCAGAAGAGCTTTGCCGAGCATGCGCGTATTTTCGTCAAATTCTGATGGGTCCATTGCATTTAAGTGGGAACGAGATACAAGGCAAAACGTGTCGGCGAAAGCACGCGCATGCCCGCAAATGGTCTTCTAAATTTCTCCATGGGAATTTTCGCAACTTTAGAACAGACCGAAAATCGTTGTAAATTCAAAAGTCAAAGGCAGAATAGTTATCAGAATATGATTCTGACAACTATAGTTGATACGGCAACGATAATATAATCTCTAATTTAGAAGTCAAAGTTGGGAAGTTGGGTTTTTCAATATTTGCGAGGACTTTAGTATGACGGCAGATGTCAGAAGTCGAAGACAGTCGATTCTAAATCCGTGATCTCTAGTCGCATCTCACACTCACAAATTACATGGCGCTTCCGCATGTGGATCTTCTACGCCATGAAACCGAATTCGTTTGTTAAACATTTAGCAAGAAATGTGGTCGGAATGATAGAAGCCATGGCGGCAAACACAGCTAATGGCCACTACTTTTGCCCCTGGGAATGTTAACAGCAGTCCAAAACACATATGCTATAACGTAAAAATGATAAAGACATATAGTTATTCGTTCAAAAGCAGCGTGACGTCTAACGAAGTTTTCACACAAAAAAATCAGAACAGACTAACAGATGTTATAAGATATATCTCATTTATAGAGACCTAAACTCTAAAGCCGTAGTTAAAAGACAGAAGAGCTACCTTTAGGCACTGATTTATAAGTAGCTTAGAGGGCGGAAGATGATTCATGAAACTGTCTCATGCTGTCAAGTATTAGGTATTATTCCTAATCAGTCAACTCTCGGTTCCTAGAATAGCATTACTGACAAAGACAAGGGTGACATTGTCGTCAGCCAGTCATACCCAACCCTGAAGTGTGGAACGTCTGGGGTTCGGTCCCGTGACCTGACAGTTAGAAGACAGACGCCTCTAACCGCTGGGGCACGGACTCGTTGTCTTGTCGGTTGCTGTCGGGAATATACAGTGATAGAGGGGCGCTCACTGTTGGTTTTTCCAGCTTCCTAGACCAGCCAGTCCGTTGCGTATATAAGGATGTTTCTTTGATATCTCACACGTAGGCGAAGCTGTTCTCTTCTTCTGTAACAAATTCGGAGTCGACCACTGGACGCAGGTCGCATGTATCCATCTAGCTAGACTCAAACGATGTTTATGGAAAATTAAACGCTTTTGAGCGTTGACTTTCGGTTGAAGAACAAATCAGCACCTGCGATCCAATGTTATCGAGTAGGTTGTGGTATGCGAGCAGTTCATCATGTGGGTAGGGACGTGGAGCCCAATAAAACGATTTTTAACAGGTCAAGAAAATAGCAAAGAGACCTTTTCTCTGGCACAACCACTTTTCGGAAACTTTGATGCCATCATTGGAATTCGAGGGCCACGCTCTTAAACATTCATAAAGGTGCAGTTGGAAGGACTTTGAATGCGGGAGATGGAAAGTTTTTCGGAAATATTTTGACGACACCCTCAAAGGAAGAATACACTCTTCTGTGCCAAGATAACCTGATGCCATATTGGAGGTGGAAGGCATTCCAGAAGGGTCACCGATGTTCCTTTCGTAATAAAAATAATTTTCATATATTTACATACGGAAGTATCTCAGAAAGTATGTTGAGTTATTGTCCGCTTGCAACTGGAGTATAGAATTCAGGCTCGACACAGATGCACGAAAAGGAAGTGTAAGCGTTATCCGAGAAAATCTCAAACTTATAAGAATTCTTGTCTCTTAAACACAGGTAAGAATAAGGCGTAGAAACAATTCTATACTGTGCAATATTCTAAATAGCTCATCCGCTATCTAGGATTCACTCTCGTTTCTGGAGGGCTGCGGTTTCGGATTCAGTGTCGCGCATGCTAAACGAATACATTCTCTCAGTCACACTTCACCAGTAGTGGTTTCGCCCTTCTCTTTGACAGAAGTTGATTCCACCTTGTTAAAGGAGGAGTTGACAATGGGATTCTGCCGCAAGAGGCATTGTTCAATTTCTCACGAACTCATGCCGATGATGAGAAAATTGAAAATCTTGAAAGCGTCGGCACTCCGTGCAGAACTATTACCCCCTTTTTAATGTGATGGACGGGTGACATTTTATGGCCTCTGACACATCGCCATCCCATAACCAAGGCCACTCTGTAGGGGACTCGACTTCAGTGGATCTTGGATAGCCGCAACTCCAAGTAAACTCAAGCCGGTAGTTAGTTCAAAGGCAGGTTCGAGTGCAGTTTCTGCCACTCTTACTTTGCAGAAGTCCAGTCTTTGTAACAAAACATTGGCAGGGGCCAAATAGGCGGCCGCAGTGAGAAAATATCTCCAGGTGGCTCGGGTACAACGGGATGGCGGTTTTGAGTGGAAGAACGGGCGGGGAAACCAGCAAAGGGCAATGGATTGACGGGCTGGATGTTGAAAAATGTTGGAAATCGCAGCGAAATAATTATTTGTTTTAATCGATTGAAAAATACTGGATGATGGCGTGCAAATAAGCAGTACCTTAGGTAATACCCAATCACAGGTGGGGTGGCGGGTGACGTGATATGGTTGGCGGCCAGGGAGAGTAAACCTGAACCGCCAAGCGATTAACCAATGAGATCGTTGACGCCACCCCTGATTTAGTCTGCAGCAGATGGTTGAGATGCAGAAGATGCGCAAGCGAGACGGGAAGGAACATCGAAGTACTGTGGTTGGGTATGAGTGATTGAATAAACTGCTTATGACAATTGCCTCAATTCCCAGCCCCTTACTAACCTCCTCCCTCTTTGTTACATCGGTGATCTCCACAGCCTGCACCGTTTAATACGCATAACGCGGAAAATGTTTACAATACCTGGACGTACTCCAACGCCACCGCACCAACCTACAGCAGATCGGCGAGCTCCCGAACTGGTCGGCCGTCGTGTGTAAGTTCGCCGTTTCGCTAGATTTTTAAATGTCCATGGTGGGAGCAGTTTGCAGACTTAAGTAACCCTTTTAATTTTAAATTTAGGTTATTAGGTAGTGCTGGCGGGGGCCTCCGGGGAACTGCGCCGTGTCAGATGCCGCGACCACCGTCGGTTGTCAGTGAGCAAGTGCACAACCGCTCTAAAATCATACTGCTCCTTGTCTGCAGCAAATCCCTCCCATCGAGAAATATTAATGCACGCTGCTGTCATGGTCTCCATTTAAAAGGGGGGGGGGTTGGATTCTTCAGACGTACGGACCAACCGAAGTCGGGTTCAGAACATGCCATTAGCTGAAGGGGACCTATGTGCCCATTATGGGTGTGCTAAGGTAAAAGGGGGGTGAGAGACGTAGTCTGCAGTTGAATAGGTCCGTGCTAGGTAGTTGGTTGTTAGCCAACGGAGGAGGAGGACAATTTAACTGAAAGGCCACTGATTTGTTTATATAACTCCTATGTAGAGTAAGTGCACTATGTTACTCAACCAAGAGCACATTGCCTGGTGGATACAAGCTGTGTGAGAAAAAGCGGGGAAAGTCATGTTATGTCCGAATAGCTAGCACAGAACGCATGATGGTCTACTATCTATAAGCTACCGGTAATTAAACTGAACCTCGTTGTTAGGTGTACCATGAATTACTCTGGGCACATATAAGGGAAAAGAGGGGTGGGGGTATGTATAAGTTGACACTGGCAGTATTATAAACTCCTCCTGTTTTATATCTAGATCGTAACCGAATGCAGGCGGACGTAGGCGCGGTCCTCAGCGGGTTATACAGACCGCCGAGGATGAAATACGAGCTGTCCTTCAGTCAGCAGGTGTCGTTCAGTACCCGCAGCGGTGGAGGTTGCTGGCCACCTCCTTAGCATGCCGATGTCGGCGTACTGTGCAGATGCAAGTGTTGCGGCAGAATACGGACGATTATGCCTTCCGCTGTGGACAGTGCAGACGGAAGCGGTGTCTGCGGACGGGGTCAATGTTCGTTGGTAGCAAGCTCAGTCTGCAGACACTGTTACGTATATGCTATAAGTTCGTCGAAGGTGTGCGGGCCAAGCGGTGTGCTGCAAGTGTAAGTGTCAGTAGAAATACTGCCATGGAGTGGTACAGCATTTGCCGCGTGACCTGCTCACACACACTTCTATCCGCCGTAACCCAAATTGGGAGACCAGGCGTGGAAGTGCAGGTAGACGAGACGCTTATAAGTCGCCGCAAGTACGACAAGGGACGACCGAGGCGTCAGTTGTAGGTCGTCGGTATGTACGATACAGGCAGGCGGACAGCCCTGTTCGAGCAGGTTAATAACCGCAGCTGGCAGGCCCTAAGGCCCGTCATAGTGAAGTAGGTGGCTGCTGGTAGTGTTATCGTAACCGATGAGTGGAAGCGTTATGCCCGCCTACCGTCGGAAGGTTACACACACTACACTGTCAACCACAGTAGTGTGTTCGGAAATCCCACAACGGGTCGGCATACGAACGCCGTAGGGGCCTACTGGAGCAGACTGAAGAGGAAGCTTCACGAGTCTGGTCCTGTCTGTGGCAGAGCAGTGTGGGCTCACCTAGATGAGGTTCAGCACCGCCTCTGGTTCGACCTAAGGGCCGACAACATGGCAGCTTCCTGGGAAACTTTCCTGCGACATTGGGCAGAAACATATCCAATTGAGGAGAGCCAACCAACGGCGATTGGATAAGCTAACCAACGAAGGCGCAGACGGAAGAAGTGAAGTTAAGTCTCTGTACTTCCTCCATT